GCTCAATGGATTCTTCTGAAACCTGACTTTCCGAACACTTCTGAATGGGCTCCTTGTGTTTATCTGGGTATCTGCTGTTTAAATCTCTGAACAGAACAGCAGTAGTGACAATTGCAAAATAAATAGATGAAAAGAAACAGGGAAAGCGAAGAAGAAATCATAAAATGTTGGTTCTCTCGTCATTCCACTTTGACTGCCACTGAGCGTGTCGCATCCCGCGCGGGTGGCCCGGGCGTGAACGTCAATGCCGAGGGGTACAGGGCGGTGCTGGGACCCCGGCCGCCTGGCCAGACTCCCCTTCGGGCGGAAGCGCGGGTGGCAGTTGGCCCAGACAGGGAGCGGCCCCGCGGGAGCGGACGCAGGGCCCGCAGGGCGCCAGGCGCTGTCCCCACCGCAGGACCGGCGCGGAGAAGGGACCGCACCGGATCCCGGGCACGGCGGGCAGGGCGACCCCGCGGGACGCCGGCGGGGCAGGGGACGGCGACGACTCATACCTGGATGAGCACTTTCACGTACATGAGCGGCTGGGACAAGATGGTGAGACCGGAGCCCAGGAGCACCTGACTGGCTGCGTCCGCCATGATGGCACTCGCGGACGGACAAACAGACAAACCGAGCCACTAAGCGACACCGCCAGTCCCAGATCACGTGCCGGGGCCGCCGGCTTCACTGGCCCGCCTGTGGCGCGCGCGCACGCACGCACACGCACGCACGCCCCGCCCTAAAACGCCCCTCCCACACCCCCGCCCCGAGAAACGGCAGGCGCTCGCGAGCGGTAGCAGCAGAGGGGCGGGGCTTGGCCGTGAGCGTGTGCCCGCCGCTAGCAACCGCCCTGTCTGCTGCGCATGTGCAACGCGAAGTGTCCGGAAGGAGAAACATGGGTGTGGCGGGGGGGGGGGAGATCGGTGTGACCCTGACTACAATGGCAAGGTCAGAGGAAGCAAAAGTTGAGAAGCTCCTTCCTTAAGCTTTGCCTCGCACTTGTCCTGTGGACTTCGTCAGTATAAGGTTCAACGGGTGTTACGCGCGGAGTCCTGAAGGTCTGACGGCCGAAGAAGACGAGTTTATTCTGACATCCTGTCACAGTTGCTCTCTCCGAGGTCATTCATTCAATGAATGTCATCAGAAACGCCTCTTGGCACCACTCTAACGTCATCTGCTTATTTTCTTTATTATTTATTTATTTGGGCCTGAGGATTGAACCCAGGACCTCTACACTGAGCTACATTCCCAGCTGCTTTTTAGTTTTTGAGACCGGGTCTTGCTAAATGGCTAACTTGCCCAGGCTGGGTTTGAATTTAGGATCTGTCCGCCTCATTACACTGGGATGACGAGTGTGCCCTTTCACACCCATCCTTTCCCCTACTTTCTGCGCATCTTCCCCGTACCACCAGCTCTGTCTGACTTGTTCCCTCCCTGCTTTGAGCTCCTGAATCCAAGAGCCGCACAACTTTGGTCACAGGTGTAATCTCAGGGCTGGGCACTCATTAGGTGCTCAGCAGATACGCGCTGCACAAGGATAGGAACTTCAGCCGCAACCATGTTGCAGGCTGTGGGAGAAAACGTGGGGAAAAAATGTGGTCCCTACATTCCATCCTGGACTCTGGACTCAGTTTGGACATCAAACAGCACTTCTGGGTAGGCGCGTGGGAAAGCAGAACTGATGGCTTTGAATCGATCGGCTTTGCCTTTCAATTCGTTTGTCCTGTGCCTTCTGATTTTCCTGTTATCTGCATCTAAGTACAGCACCACTACTTCTCTCCCAGGGCTGCTGTGAGCAATCAGGAAGCTCTGCAGGCAAGAGGAAGATTTAAAAGCTATACCACAATGCCAGCTAATGGGTTCCTTTGTGTCAGCACTACCCAGGCCTCAGCCCTGGGCCAGGAGACACCAACAGACTTGAATCTGGGGGCCTGCTACATAAGTGCCCTCTGCCATTAGTGACAGTCACCCCAAGCAGAGGAGCACTGACAAAAGAGCATACATTTCCCCTCCCCAAGAAAACTAGAATAGGAGGTCCCATTTGACCCAGCTATTTCCCTTCTGGGTATCTTCCCAGAAAAATTAAAAACATCATACCATAGTGATATATGTGCATCAATGTTTATACTGGCACAATTTGTAATAGCCAGATCTTGGAAACAACTCAAATGCCCATCACCTGAGGAGTGGATTAAAAAGATGTGGCCTTTTTATACAACGGAGTACTACTCCTCTATAAAGAAGGATAAACTGGAGATTTTTATAGGTAAATGGATGCAATGTGAGACTGTATTCATAAGTCAGATAAACCAGAGACACGTATAAACATCATATTGTCTCTAGCATGAGAAACTGAAGGAGTAAATAAGTCCAAAAGGTACAGTAGATATTGTAAAGTGGGAAGAGACTTAAAAAGGAAAGACAAACTGGGATGAGGGGATGGAGAAACAAAAGGAAAAGAAAAATAGGGGCTGGGGATTTAGCTCAGCGGCATAAGCGCCTGCCTTGCAAGCAGGCGGTCGTGAGTTTGGTACCGGTAAAAAGTTTTTAAAAAGTTAAAAAAAAAGAAAAATATATAAGATAGTTAAAATAGTTCTATTACTAATTCTCTTAGTTCATTGAAAAGATTTGTGCTAATGCTGTTTGGACAATTAAATGACAATATCTTGTAGTTTGAGTAACAAACTTAAAGATAACAATATGCAATGTATTAACCGACAAATTTTTCCCATGTGCAAGTCAACAGTGCTGGACAGTGCCTCCCTTCAGCACTGACTTCTGCATTCTTCTCACAAAACCTGAAAGTTAGACCTTCCGCTTTTTGCATGCGCGCCAGTTCAGGCTGGCCTTGAGCTCACTTTGTAGCCCCAGGCTGGTCTCGAACTCCCAAGGATCCTCCTGTCTCAGCCTTCCGAGTGCTGGGATTACAGGCGTGAGCCACCATGCCCAGCTTCAACATATCATTCTACTTGCCTCTTTAACTCCATCCCATCAGTTCCAAATAAAGCCCTCTATTTTTCTTTGTTCCCTTCAGAGGGTGCTTGCATCTCTCCAGTAGCCCTTCTGGGCCCACAATAAAAGCCTTTTTTTCTTTCTTTCTTTCTTTCTTTCTTTCTTTCTTTCTTTCTTTCTTTCTTTCTTTCTTTCTCCATTCTCTCTCTCGTGTTGGAGGACCAAACATTAACCATTGTTACCCTCTTACTATCTTGTTTTGAAATGTTGTGTTTTTTCTCTTTCTTTAAAAAAAAATTAGGGCCAGGGATATAGCTCAGTGGCACAACACCTGTCTGGAAAGTGTGAGGTCATGAGTTCCACTCCTGCTACCAAAAAAGAGAAATAAAATAAAATAAATATAAAAGAGCAAAGCCATCCTTGCTTCCTAACCTTGCTAGGATGCTGGGTAGGACAGTATGCCTACCCAGCCCAGCACATAGGAAATATAACAGAAAAAAGAGAAACAAAAATATAAAACGGGCTGGGGATTTAGCTCAACGGCATAAGCGCCTGCCTTGCAAGCAAGCAGTCGTGAGTTTGATCCCCGGTACCGATAAAAAGGAAAAAAGACAAAATAAATAAATAAATAAAACAGCAGCTTTTTTTTTTTTTTTTTTTGTCTTTTTCGTTTTTATCGATACTGGGGATCGAACTCACGACTGCCTGCTTACAAGGCAGGCGCTTATGCCACTGAGCTAAATCCCCAGCCCCCTTATTTTTATTTTTATTTTTATTTTTTGTGTGATACTGAGGAATGAACCCAGGACCTTTGCACTGAGCTACATCCTCAGCCCTTTAGATTGACAAAGATTCTTGCTAAATTGCCCAAACTTGCAATCCTTCTGTCTCGGCATTCCAGGTGGTTGGTTGTGCTGTCACATCTGTTGATTTGTAAGTTGATTTTAACTAAATCCAAAAACTTTAAAATTAGACGTCAGTCAAGACAGAGATTAGTTGTGAATTTGTGCATGGCTGGCACCCAAAAATCTCCATTCTTGCTGGGTGTGGCAAGAATGTATCCCAGCACTCTGGAAGCCAAGGCAGGAGAATCACTGTGAGTTTGAGACTAGCCTAAACTAGGTAGTGAGACCCTGTCTCAAAAATTTAAAAAGGTGAGGCTATAACTCAGTGCCTGTCTGGCAAGTGCAAGGTCCTGAGTTCAATTCTAAGTACCAAATAAGTAAACAAAAATTTTTAACAAGTATCATCCCAGCTAGCATGTTGACACAAGCCTGTAATCCCAGCACTTGGGAGGTTGAGGTAGGAGGATCGCTGCAAGTTCGAGACCAGCCTGGGCTACAAAGTCAAATCAAGACCAGCCTGAACTGCCAAGGCAGAGCTTGTCTCAAAGAAAAAAAAAAAAAAAAAAAGATCATCACATGTGAAAAGTAACTTTAAGTGAGCTCAAGGCCAGCCTGAACTGCATAGTGAGACCCTGTCTCAAAAAAGACAAAAAAGTAACTTTAAGCACAGTAAAGTCTGTCCCTAGTGCTGAAGTTGAAATGCCCAGTATAAAAGCACCTACCCTTTTTTTCCAGTTTCATTTTTTCTGTTGATACACACACACACACACACACACACACACACACACACTCGCACTCCCACATGGATTTGATTCCTTCCAAAGACACTGGTAGACCCTGGGTGACTTTAGCAAGTGCAAATGCTGGCCTTGACTGGCAGAGAGAAGCAGAAGCTTGGTGCAGAAGGTCAGAAGCTATGGAGAAGAGCATGTCACACATATCCATACCCAGCGGGGGCTGCCACCACAGGGGCCAGGGCCACGAAGCTCGAGAGAGGATTCTGTCCTCAGTCTTCTGCTGCTCTGGCTCTCCATGCTCCAGAGAGCAGAGAGGTAGCTGTTTGCAAGGCAAGCTTGCCTGTTACAGAAAGTGTTTTCTTGTCCAAGAATGCTCATCGTATGCATGCATAAAATTATCACTTTGTATCTCATAAATATGTACAATTATGTGTCAGTTTTTTTTAAAAAAAATTCACTTTGTCCTTGACTTTTTTATTTTTATTTTATTATTTATTTTTGGTACTGGAGAATGAACTCACAACCTCACACTTGCCAGGCAGGCACTTGTGCCACTGAGCTAAATCCTCAACCCTTTATTTTTGAGACAGCGTCTCACTATGCAGTCCAGGCTGGCCTTGAACTCATTATGTAGCCCAGGGTAACTTTGAACTTGTGGTGATCCTCCTGCCTCAGCCTCCTGAGTGCCAGGATGCCATTGTGCACCACCATTTCAGCTCACTCTGTCCGTGATAGCTGTTTATCCTTGGCCTCTGGCCCAGGAAAGGCTCATAAAATTGAAGAAAAACTTTGGACTCTGCCTGATTACAGCAGGTTCTTTACAGCCCAGCCAGCACACAGGTGGCAGTTGTTGTGCCCTTTGTTTGTCCCCTGAGGAGTCTCCTGTGCTGAGTATCCGTCCCTTCCCCTGACCTTGACTGCTCCTTTCCAGTCTCTTGAGAGGCTGAATTTGTTTTTTGTTGCTGTTATAACAAATCACACATTTGAAAGCTGAAAGCAACAAGAGCTTGTAGTTCCATGGGTCCAGAGTCCACAGGCTGATTTCTCGGCTCAAGTTCTTTGGGCTGAGATCCAGGTGCTGGCGGCCCAGTGGTAACCCAGAGGTTCTGGGGCTGATCTGTTCTGGGCTGGTGGTGGCATTCAGATTTAGCTCCCTGTGACCACGGACATGATGTCCCCATTCCCTTGTTGGCCACTGGCAGGAGTCATAGCCTCAGAAGTTGCAGATCCTCTGCTGTGGGTCCCCGTCCACCATCTTCAAGGGCTGCACAGATGGTTACTTCTGTGTGTGGCTTCCAGATCTCGGCCCCTTTCAGGCCTCTTGCTGCTTGTAACACCCATGTGTCTCATGAGCTTTCCTGCTTTCCTCTTCTTCTTTCAAGGGCCCAGAAAAGTCAGGATGATTTCCCTGTCTAAAAATCAAACATTGGGTGTGGTGGTTCTTGCATGTAATCCCAGCACTCAGGAGGCTGAGGCAGGAGGATTGCCTTGAGTTTGAGGACAGTCTGAACTACAGAATGAAATCTTGTCTTAGAACACAATAAGACACCCAAACAAAACAGAAAACAAACAAACAAAAAAGAACAACCCATAAAAGACCAAATTAAGCCAGGTTATAAAATAACTGTACACACGATGATCTCATGTTAGCTAACAAGAGCACAGATATTTATAGAAAAGATTGATGTGGTGGATTAAAAACTGGTGGAAATTTAAACACCAGCTGAACTGAATCATTGCTGAGTGCTGAGTGTAGAGGCCCAACCTGAGAAAAGTTTCCAGCATAAAAAGGAGACATGAAGAGGAAGAGTAGCACGTGGGTTCTCCTAAATGTTGTTTTTTGGAGCTGTTGGTTCTCCTGCAGGAGCTTGTCATGATGGTTTCCTTGATATGAACTTGGCTGTTATCATCAGAGGAGCTCAGGACCTTGTTGCTGAGAATGGCTGTGGTTCACTTTGGAGGAGCTTACTTTGAGCATCACTTCTTGGCTCTGGAGGGGAACATGTGTGCTGTTCAATCTCCAGCAGAAGCTTGTCATGCTGGCTTCCTGATATGAACTTGGCTGTTCTCATTGTTGGAGGAGCTCAGGACCTTGTTGTCAAAGAGGAAGGCTGTGGTACTTTTGGGGGGAGCCCTCGACCTTATTTTGTGTGTCACTTCTTGGCTCTAGTGCAGAACTCTCAGCCTACCAGCACAGCTCCTTCATCCCGCTGACAAAGACTTTCTAGCTTCTGTCACTGACCTTTGGGCCTTCCCAGTGCAGACCCATGAAACTGACTTGCATGAGTCATTGTGGGCTCAAGGCCTCCAGGTGGACTCATGGGAGCCACTGTTGTGGGCTGTAGGTTTTCAGCTGAACTCATGCAGGTTATTGCCATGGGATCCAGACCCTCAGCTGGACTTTCTAGGTGTTTAGTGTGTGGATAGATTTCCTGCACTTTCTTTGTATTTGACTCCTTGGTGACCATTATAAATAATAGTAAGTTATGTGTCCTGTACATAATTATTTTCCTTGAAATCCTCACTACAACAATTGGGAATGATGAAAAATAAGAATTTACTGTGACAAAGTTTGGAAATTAAATCATATACTTTCACAGCCAGGTATAGTATGTGCAGTTGTAATCCTAGGAATTCAAGAGGCTGAGACAGGAGGATTTCTTGAGTTCACATTTACTAGTTTGCTCAACCCTGCAACACTTCTAAAATTGGAATCATTGTGCTAATACTGTAACACAGACACAATGAACACAGTTAAGAATCCAGTTGCAGTTTCCTCTGATTATTACTGACCTCAATCCTGGCTTCTGAATCCACTGCCCTTGTAAGGGTGCTGGCTGGGAGGATGGTAGGGGCAGAAAGGTGCCTAGTCTTGAGCCAAGAAGACAGCTAAAAACAAAATGGCCACAGAGGAGAGAGGAGGGCAGCTGTAGAGTGAAATGCAGAGGACCCATGTCTGAGGCTGGTAGAGAAGACAGCTGTGTGGTCCACTCAATGGCAGGTGCTCCTGCAGCCATCTTGGCAACTGAGGAGCAGAAGCGGAGAAGACAGATGGTTGGTGAGGCTGGCTGATCTGAGGCTGTGGGGCAAGCAGGTGGCTGTGGCAGAAGGGTGCAGGGTGAGGACACAGGGTTCTGGCAAGACAGTGGGTGACGTCATGAACCCTGGAGTCTGGGCCAAATGGGAGAGGACATGGAGCTAAGGGGGAGAAAGATAGATGAACAAAGCTGTGGAAAGGTGTTTTTTTTCCCCTTTTCTAAAAAAATTTTTTCATTAGTATCTGTGACTTTTATTTTCTCATGTTGTTATTATATAAACACTGATCGCATAAAATGATTTGGATGAGTTTTTTCCGTGTCCACCTTTCTGAAAGAGTTCATCCTTTTTTCCTTTTCTTCTCAGTAATGAGGCTTGAACTAGGGTTTCGCACTATGAGGCATCCTCAGCTGCCCCCTTTAAACTTTTTTCTTGTTTTGAGACACAGTCCTGCTCAGGCTGGGCTCGAACTCATGATCCTCCCATCTCAGCCTCCAAGAGCTCTGGGACCACAGGCATGTGCCACCATGCCAGGCTAGGGAGGTAGACAATTGTTATCTTTATTTGCTTTTCAGACAAGGTCTCACTATGTTCCTCAGGCTAGTCTCAAACTCTGAGGCTCAAGTGATCCTCCTGCCTCAGCCTCCCGAGTAGCCGGGGCAACAGTGCATGCTATTACACGATGGCAATGCATTATTATTACTGATTTGTGCATAAAAGAAACATCTGTGCATTACAGTTGAAGGGGCTGGGCTTTTCCTCTTGGAGATCATGAACTATATTCTCTGTGCTTTGACTGTAGCTACCTTATCACATAAGGCTGGGCACAGTATATTCATCATGTTGACACTCGAAAGAATTTTGGATTTGGGTATATTTCAAATTGTGATTTAAGGGTAATCAATCATTCTGGGGGCTGGGGATTTAGCTCAGCGGCATAAGCATGTGCCTTGCAAGCAGGCAGTCGTGAGTTCGATCCCCGGTACCGATAAAAAGGAAAAAGACAAAAAAAAAAAAAAAAATCATTCTGTACCTTTTCTTTCTTTGTGGCACTTGGGTTTCAGCCTAGGGTTGGGACTGAGCTACACTCTCAATCCTCTTTTACAGACAGTGCTGGGATTACAGGCATGCACCACCACTCACCCAGAAGGAATCTTGTTTTTTTATAGATTAAGGCTCAGCTGCACACACCCAGAGTGGAGCCTGCCCTGACAGGGAAGATGATTTCAGGTCTCCCTTCTACTTACCAGGCAGCCCTGCTGAACGAGGAGGCAGGTGGCCTTGCAGGAGCTGCCAATGTTCAGAGCAATGCTCCACCCTGCAGGAGAGGTCCACAGAGACGCACAGAAGTGTCGGTGGGACTTGGTCAAGTCAGCTAGCCAGACCACAGTTTGTCTTTGTTCCTAGAAGGCCACAGCAGGCTTTGTGGCTTCAGAGATGTCTGTGTGGCAGTGCTCACCTCTGTGTCCTGGGGACATTTCTGCTGCCCCAGACAGCAGAACCAGAACCAGCAAGTGGGAAACCGAAAGTTAGCAGGTTTGGTCCCACAAAGTGGGGCTTTTTGTTTTGGTTTTTTTGAGACAGGGTCTTGATATGTAGTCCAGGCCACTAAGTAGCCCAGGCTGGTTTGGAACTCACAGTGATCCCCCTTTCAAGTGCTGCCTCAGCCTTTCAAGTGCTGGGATTATAGGTACTGTGTATGGCTTTTTCTTTGGAGACAGATTCTTTTTTTTTTCTTTCTTTTTACTGGTACCGGAGATCCAACTCACGACCCCCTGCTTGCAAGGCAGGTGCTTATGCCGCTGAGCTAAATCCCCAGCCCCTGGAGACAGATTTTTGATAAACTGTCCAAGTGGCCTCAGTCTCCCAGGTGCCCCCTGCCCCTGGGGTATGATCTGCATAGCGACAGGACATGCTGTGGCTGGTGGCCAGGCTTGGTGCTCGTGGGGGCCACTGGAAAGACACAGCTGATGTCAAATATCTATTCATCTGAAGCTACCCAGTTAAGCATCACAGGAACAGGTGGATACAGAGAATAGATTTTATTTGATTTGATTTGGGGAGGAGTGAGCCAGGGTCTATGTAGCCCAGATTGGCCTCAAATTCATATTGATCCTTCTGCCTCAACCTCTCAAGTGCTGGGATTACAGTGAGCACCAGCACACCCAGCCCTCTAACGGATTTCAATTCCTGATTCCAGCGCCACGGCCAGGTCATGTGCGTGACAACATGAGGGAGCCTCAGCCAGGCAAACCCGGCTGACTATGTGTCCTACACAGTGTTAACTCCAGACTTTATTTTTCACAGCATGTTCCCTGAACAGGTTTAAACTAGAGCTCAGTCCTGAGATAAAAGGACTCAGAAGGAAGAGAACAGCCCTCAGCTGGCAGGAGGAAGAGGAATGGGGAGTCCTCTCCATTCCAGCACCACAAGCGCTGCGCGCCCAGGACAGCGAGGACAGCGTGCGCCGCCCGCCGCCCGCCGCCGCCCAGGCTCCCCTGCGCCCCACTGTCCGCGCAGGTGGCGGGGCTGGGGTCACGGGTACGTGCACACGTGCAGCGCCGGGTAGGCCACCAGGCTGCTGCCCCTCTTGCGGTCCCGCTGCGACACGGGCCCTGGCTCTTGGCTGGCGCCGCTGCGGCTCTGGGGAGCGCGGGGCCCCTGTGGGGAGGAGAGCAGAGGCACAGTGTCGGGGCGCCCCCTGGGGAGGCTGAGCCTGGCCGGGTCTCCAGGGGGGCTCAGGAAGGAAGGAACCCCACCGGCAAGGGCTGATCCTAAGGAGTGGAGGTCAGATGCCAACACCCCTTAGAGGTGTTCCTTAGAGGGACAGCCTGTCCTGCAATGGAGGGGAGACCCAGGAGATGGAGTTAATCTTAAGATTTGATGTGTGTGGGGGTGGGGTGGGGGTTAGCGGCACAGGGCCTGCCTGGCAAGTGCAAGGTCCTGAGTTCGATTCCCTGTACCAAAATAAATAAAAATTTAAAAATAAATAAAGATTCAGGCCGAGGATTTAGCTCAGTGGCATAAGTGTCTGTCTGCCTTACAAGTGTGAGATTGTACCAATCCCCGGTACCAAAAAATAAATATAGATTTATGTGCGTGAATAAAAGGCCGCAGTGAACCTCGGTATTCTGTAAAAATAATAAGCACTAATAAATTTTAAAAAGAAATAATCCATTAAAAATGAAGTCAATGTAGGGGCTGGGGATTTAGCTCAGTGGCATAAGCACCTGCCTTGCAAGCAGGCAGTCGTGAGTTCGATCCCTGGTACCGATAAAAAGCAAAAAGACCAAAATAAATAAATAAATAAATAAATAAAATAAAGTCAGTGTAAAGTGTGGATGGTAATTGATACCATACCTATACAGTACTGGTCGTTTGGTGTTGGTTTTTATTTTTTTGAGATAAGGTCTTGCTGTGTTGCCCAGGCTGAACTCACTATGTGGCAAGGCTAGCCTGGAGCTCAAAGTGATCCTCCTACCTCAGCATTGCAAGTGCTCGGATGACAGTGTGTGCCACCATGCCAGCTGATGGCATTAACTGCTGGCACATCCATGAGATGCTGTACCTGATGAGTCCTCTCGTGCTCCGGCAGAATCGGGGGAGGCATTGGCTGGGCTGGGGCAGCAGCTGGGTCTCTTCTACTTGACTGTGGCTGAAATACAGGGGTGCAGCCTCACTCAGCTTCCCATATGAGCACTGGGATTGTAGTGAACACACAGTATTTACAAGCTCTATTCACACACTGATGCCCGCACTCTGAGAGAAAGGCAAGGTACAAATGAGCGACAATTAAAGAGGTGGAAAGAGAGCAGGATGGTGCTTCACACCTGGAATCCCAGCACTCAGGAGCCTGAGGCAGGAGATTACTACAGAGCGACTCCAAGGATGGCCTGAGCTATGTAATGAGTAGTTTCATCCTTACCCCTGCACTGGCCATGAAAACAGGCAAAAGGGCTAATGTTTAGTGGGTGAGCTTCTACAGTCGCTTTACAGCTTCAGATCTAACCCTCACACAAACTTTAGGGTGCAAGTTTTCTGCCTTGAATTTTCAGATGCAAAAACAGTCCTGGGCTGCTAACTCACAGAATACCAGCTGAGCAACCCTTACCAGAAATACCTCAACAGAAGTGTTTGAGTTCAATTTTTTCCCCAGTTTTTTTGTTTGTTTGAGACAGGGTCTCAGTAAGTATTCCAGGGTGTTCTTGAACTCTCTATGGAGCCCAGGCTGGCGTCAAAGTCTCAACTACTCTCCTGCCTCAGCCTCCCAAATGCTGGGATTGCAGGCTGGGATCACAGTTTTGGAAGACACATTATATAAGAATATAGTGAGAGGGGCTGGGGGTTTAGCTCAGCAGCATAAGCGCCTGCCTTGCAAGCAGGCAGTCATGAGTTCGATCCCCGGTACCGATAAAAAAAAAAAAAAAAGAATATAGTGAGACAGCTTGGGCTGGAGGGTCCAAGTCTAGATAGGAAATTCACTCAGGCTTCATACCTTCATTTGCTTAGCCTAAGGCTGATTCTGAACAATACTTCTGACAATTTTATGTGTAAAACAAGTTTCATGGCATGGAACTTTTTACTTGTGGTGTATTGTGGAACTGGAAGCCAACTCTGGAGATGGTACCTGAGCTGCAGGAGCTGGAGGGTGGTGTTCCATGGGCCCCAGCCCAGAGCAAGGGACCTCCTTATGTGGCTGCTAGCTGCAGGAGCCACTCCATACCAGCTTTCTACCCTCACCACCAACGCTCAGCTGCTCTGCTACCAAAGCGTCCTTTCCATGTCAGTCCTGGGCATTGAACCCAGGGCCTCTGCACTCGTGGTCATGCACTACCATACCCAGTTTCCCAAAGCTATTTCTATATATAAAAGAATTAAGGACTTACAGCCACGAAACTCTAAAGTGTTGATCATTTCCTGGATGGTGTTCCTATATTCCTAATACTCTGTGGTGGAAATTCCTGTTCTCCTTAGGGTCCCCTTCGAGACCCCAGGTCCCTGAGACAGGGCTGTGTAGGCCATGTTCTCAATGGCAGGGAGGGGCCATGGCTCACAGGTACGTGGGGAAGCCTGTGGGGTGGGCCAGCCATAAGGCAGCCTTTGTGTGTCCTCAATGTGAAACCACGAGGCTCCCGAGTCTGGCACCCAGAGCGAACTCAGAGACAGAGTCCTGTGGAAGCACTACCTGGTGGAGTCTTGCTCTTCCCTGTGTCCCCGCTGAAGAACTGCCATTCTCTGGATGTTTAGGAAAGGCCAGCTGCTTCTGCAGGGTGGTGGCAAACCTGGCCCTTACCTAGAAGCACGGAGTGTGAGGACAGGCTTTGCACGGTACGCACATCGAGCCTCCCAGCCTCCAGCCCGTAGTAATGCTCTCTCAGCAAGCAGGGCCTTGGGCCGCAGCAGCTGCAGAAGCCCGAGGAGGAGCTGCCCGGTGTCCCACCCGCCAGGCACTGCCTTCCTCAGCCAAGCCTACCCTGTCTTGTCCCTCTCCTCTCCTGTCCCCTCCTGGGTCCTTCAAGGCGCCTGGGTGTCTCATGTGGCTGTCTCCTGGGAATCTGATCTCTGTCAGGCTGCTGTTGTGATAATGTGCGTTTCGCTGTCTTCTGGTCTGAAGCGGCTTCTTTTTCTTCTTCTGGAATATCTTCATCTTCTGATTCATCTGTTCCAGAAAGTACAAGGAAACAAGTCACTGAAGGCCCCAGACCTTTCCCTCTCTGCATTGAGTACTGAAGCCAGGGCGCCTCCGTGGAGCCCCATGCAGCTGTGTTCCTAGATGTTCTGTAGATACTTTGACTCCTGGACAAGACACCCAACTATCCAGCAGGGTCAGGAGTTTTTCTCCTGAACTGAGACCTTCACACTGAGCTACATCCACAGCACATTTTTATTTTCTATTTCGACACAGGGCCATTAAATTGCCCAGGCAGGGCTGGAACTTGCTATCCTCCTGCCTTAGGCTCCCAGATGCTGGGATGCTGGGCTTGCTCACCACTCCCAGCCCAATGTCACAATATTATTAAGGCTGTCACCTCACCTTTTCTGCCCTGTTTAGAAGGTGGGCAGGGAGCCCATCTGAGAGGGAGCTGTCAGAACCGCTGGTGCTGTTGCAGAAAGAAAAGGGTTGTGGCCATTATTAATGCACAGGAAGTGGCCCCTGCCAACCTCGATGTGCAGGTCACTGTCTACGCTCCAGTGCTGAGATTCTTTTTCCCTGCTGCTAGGCATGGAACATGCCAGGCAAGTTCTCCAACCTGGGCTCCAGCCCCAGTCCCAGCCCATGTTTATTCTGAGACAGAGGCTCACTAAGCTGCCCAGGTTGGCTTTGAAATTAGGATCCTCCTGCCTGAACCTCCGGGTATCTGAGATTATAGGCTGTGCCACTGCACCTGACGGTTACTAAGAGTTCTTGACACACAAATACTTCTTTGTCGTGAACCATGACCCGACAGACAGCGTGTCAGGCACAGTGGGTACAGAGAAAGTGGCACAGCCGGCTGAGGTCACGGCCCCAGAGGACAACACTAAGGCTGTGCCTCAGCCATTCCTGTCTGGCTACTCTCAGTTCCCAGGCCAAGATCCTATCAGGTACAGGTACGTGGTAAAAATATGTTGAATACATAAACAAACATACCTCGGTTTTCTTTTTGTTTTTTGAGGCAGGGTCTTGCAATCCAGTTCAGATGCCTTGAGCTCACTATGAAGCCATAACCTTGAACTCACAGCTATCCTCCTGCCTTAGCTCCCCAAGTGCTAGGTGAAAGAGTTGCTGGCCCAGACTGGACACTTTAACCAGGGAAAGCCTCAGCCAAGTTAGGGGGCTCCTGCCTCCCCCGCCCCTATAGATTTGCCTGTAACCCTATACCCCCATCCCTGGGAACTTGTCCCTGGCGCCAAGCGTGTGCCAATAAAATACCTGTGCATCCCTAATGCCCCTTGGGGTCCGCCCCTTATGGGCCTCACTCCACGTGTTCAGAAGAAGAAGAAGAAGGAGGAAGAGAAAGGGAGAGTGTGTTCCAGAGAAAGACCATCACCCCGGGGTGGAGATGCTGCGCCCCGGGGCCGGGGGGTCTCTCCTCGCATTCCTGAAATGAAGGTTACTTATATTTTATACTCCTTTCCACCACTCCTTCCTCCTTCCTTCCACCCCTTCCTCTTTTTTCCCCTCTTCTCAGACCTAACACTAGGAATACAGGTGTATACCACCACCACTGATGAACACAGGGCATATGCATTTGGTGACAGGTACAACCCTTCTTTTATTTTTTTATTTTCAGACAGGGTCTCACTAAGTTGCCCAGACTGGGCTCCGACTTGTAATTGTCTTGCCTTAGCCTGAGTGCTGGAATTATAAGTGGCTGCCACCATGCCTGGCATTTTTTTTCTTGAGATAAGGTCTCACTGTGTACTCTAGGGAGCTCTTGATATACTGTCCTTTCTGGCCCCAAACTTGCAACTCTCCTACCTTAGCCTCCTAGTGCTGAGACTACAGGGGTACACCACCTCACTTGGCTAGGGGGATTACTTTTACCACTCCAACTCTCCATTGGAAAGTTGTCATTCCACAAACTGTCCCACAAAGTTGTCTCTAGACTAATCCAAAGTGTCATTCCACAAACTGTCCCTTCTCTTCAAAGGCCAGGAAGAATGTTGCTCGCCTGGCACCATCTTCCTTCAGTGAGTCCTTGGCCAGCCTGTGTCACTGGACTGTACCCTGCTGCGTTGGGCTGCAGGACTCAGAGCTGTGTGCTGGAACAGGCTGCACACACTGGTATCTTGGGTCTCCTGGGAAATGGTTCCAAGTGCTCCTCTGGCCCCCGATATGTAAGCTGTGCTGGATGTGAACATCCCCATCCCGATAGTCTATTCCTCCCAGCCAGAAAGCTGGGAGGAACTGGGCCTTTGGCACAGTTCCTGAAGTCCGACAGGGGTGATGGGCCACTTTAACAAACGCAACGAGTGTGTCCCAGTGTCAGCCACAAGTGTGCACAGACATGGAGCAAGTTCACACCCTGCTGGGCCTCTCCTGGTCTATCCTGCTGTACCAGCCAGAGGATAAGGCAGGGAAGGCAACATTGGGCATCCTGACCAGAGGCTGCCAAGCTGCTTTTGGTGAATTTTATTTTTTTATTTTTTACGCTAGGGTCTTACTATGCAGTCCAGGCCAGTTTTGAACTTGTTATGCGCTCCAAACTGGCATCAGATATGCAATCTGTCTGCCTGTGAGTACCCAGATTATAGGGATGAGCCACTATGCCTGGCTTTTGCAGTCTTTTTCTCTTCTTCCTTTCCTTTCCTTTTATGCTACCTTTCTGAGATAGGGTATCTTTCTGTAATTTGGACTGGCCTTGAATTCTAAATGATCCTCCTGCCTAGGCCTCCTGAACGCTGGATTACAGGTATGCACCACCACGCCCCATTCTTCAGTCACTTTTAGCTAAATGCACCAACAAGCTCAGTACGGGACTGGCTGTTTCTGAGTGGGTTTGGCCATGTATAAGTGCACACGCAGGGGTATCTGTCCCGCAGGCACTGGTCCCACGTGGTGACTTGGAGCAAGGCAGTGCAAGGGGAGTGGGCATCTCCCAACATGGACGGTGGGTTTGGGTCCAGAAGGAAAACTTGGCAAGACTCCCCGGGGAGAGCGTACGGCGCGATGTTCAGCACCCCCGGAAGCCGGAGGCCACTGTGCCCAGTGGACCGCGTGTTCCCGCCCTCCATCTACTGCCCAGGAGCCACCTTGCTGCAGCCGCCAGGAAGCAGAGCGCCGCAAAGACTGCTGGGGAAACGAACGGACCTGTCAATCACAAGATTCCAGGGCAACGTGAGAGGACCCGTATGGAGGACTTCTCGGAAGTTCTCGCGAGATGTGGGTGGCTTGAAAAAAAGCAGCCGGCTCACAAGGGTGCTAGCCTGCGTTAAGCGTGCGGTGTGAGGAGTTTTGCCCTTTTTCTCTTTGTCCCGTTCAGCTTTGCTCTCCGGAGCTGGTCTCTTGCATATCCATTCACCCTGCACTTGTCAAAGAAACTCCTGTCACTGCTTTTGGCTCCTCTCCGAGTATTTGTTCGAGGCGAGGGCCGGGAGCACCTTTGATGGGACAGCCATTTCTGAAGGAACCCGGACCAAACCGCAGTGTCTGGGCGGGGACCTCTAGGGACAAGCCCAGCCCCAGCCCTCGGCTGTGCTTGAACACAGGAGGCTGAGGGGCTGCCTGGTTCCCTCCAGTCACCAAGTATGGAACTGCAAAGTGGAAAGTGAGCTAGGCTCCACCGAATCATACAGCTCCCAGCTTCCCGTGACTCCTGTGCTCCAAAGTAGGGCCAGTATGTCCTACACGGTGGCACGCCTGACCCTGGACACTAAGGAGCCAGAGCCTCCCATTTCTGGCTCCCCCACGCCTGTAGGAAAAGCATAGAGGCCTCAAGTTCAGACCAACACCAATGCACAGCTACAGAGCAAACAAAACAACAAATTAAAATAAGAGGCTGAGGAGGCTAAGGCAGGAGGATCGCTGTGAATTCAAGGCCAGTCTGGACTACACAGCAAGACCCTGTCCAGAAAACCAAACAAAAAACAAAGACAAGGGCTGGAGGTGTAGCTCAATGATAGAATGCTTGCCCATCATGTAACCATGCCCTTGGTTCTATTCCAGTATCTAGGGAAAAACAAACAAACAAAAAAAGAATGGCTCTCATTATAAATGTAGCTCAGTGGTAGATTGCGTGCCTAACATGCACAAGGCCTTGAGTTCAATCCTCAATGCCACCGAAAATAAATAAATAAAATTTACTACTTGGAGGCCAGTCTGGACTATACAGTAAGACCCTGTCTCAAAAAACAAAATAAAAAATAAAAAAACAAAGCAAATAAAAATCCACTAGTTTTTCTTTGAAATGAAGTTTCTTACCTGGATTCAATGTCAGACAAATGGATGTCACTCCAACTTTCTTCTAAATTCCTATCTTGTCCAAGCTCACTGAGTTTCTTGTGGATTTCCTGGTGTACAAGCTCCATAAGCTCTGCTAGACACTGAATGAACTGTCACAGTGAAGAACAGAACTATTTTTGATATCCGTTGATGTCATCAAATACCGACTACAAACAAACCCAAAAAACAACCAAAAAGTCAGCTGTGATGGCACACACCTGTAACCCCAGCACTTGGGAAGCTGGAGGGTTGCTGGGAGTTCAAAACCACACAGTGAGACTACACAGTGAGACCCTAACTCAAAAGGCTCAGAAAGGCCCTGAGTAGAGGCTGAAAGGCTGGCAGTTAGCTGCTGGCAAAAGACAGGATCAAGCAGAAGTGCCTGTTGCTAAGGATGTGTCCAGAGTAGATCATGCAAGCCAGGGAAGCCAAAGTGCTTTGAGAGTACCGTGTGAATGAGCAGGGCTCTAGCTCTTTCCTCCAGCTAAGGTTTTAAATAATGTGAAGAATTTATTTATTTATTTATTTATTTATTTATTTATTTATGAGACGGAGTCTTGTTATATAGTTTAGGGTGGCTTTGAGCTCCCTTTGCATCCCAGGATGGTCTCAACTTCACATTGATCCTCCTGCCTCAGCCTCCTAAGTGCTGGGATTAAAGGCATGTGCCACCACCCCCAACTTCCATTTTATTTTTCTGAGCATCAAAGAAGCAAAGTTAGACTGAAATAGTTCCAATTCAGGGTGCAGCTCAGTGGAGAGCATGTATAGGCCCTGGATTTGATCCTGGTGTCCCCTGACAGTGGCTATACCAGGGCACTCAGATTTTCTTTCATGGCAAATATTCAGGAAAACATTAAGAATTAAAGCCCACGTGGAAAGCCTGGTGGGGTGGCGCAAGCTTGAAATCCCAGCCCTCTGGAGGCTGAGACAAGAAGATTGCTGGGAGTTCAAAGGCAGTCTGGGTTACAAATTGAGTTCAAGGCCAGCCTGAACTACATAGTGAGATCCTGTCTCAATCAATAAAGCAAGCAAGTGAGCGAGCAAGCTGCAATCAAGCAATCTAACATGGAATCAAGCAATCTAACTGATCGAATTTCTTGAAGCCTTTTTTACCTTGGTTTGGTCAGGGTCACAGAAGTCCAGGAGGGTGTCACAGATGTGGCGTCCCAGAGCCTTAAGGTCCTCAGTGGTGAGGTGTGTGTCTCTTTTACTGCCTGCAAAAGAAATACATGACATTCTGGGAAATTTTTGTGTGAGGATTTTTTTTTTTTTTGTCAGTGCCGGGGATCAGACCACACACTTGCAAGGCAGGCACTTATGCCGCTGAGCTAAAATCCCCAACCCTGATTTTTTTTTTTTTTTTTTGAGACATGCTCTTGCTATGTAACCCAGGCTGGCCTTAAACTTGCAGCAATCCTCCCGCCTCAGCCTCTTGAATGCTGGGATTACATATGTGTGTGCCATGCCTGGCTGTAGAAGAATCTTTGATGGTAAAAAAACACATTTTCATGGAGGCTGTCATTGCTGAGGTGTACTCTGTGGCAGCCACCAGGGTGACATGTCCCGTTCACCCTACCTCCTTGAGCAGCCTTTCCCGCAGGGAGCATGTCACCAGTAGTCAGAGGAAAAGCAGGTTTACAGAGGCCAAGGAATTCTCCCAGCATCACAAAGCCTTTGAGTGACACAGAATTCAACCGACGTCTGCCTGATCCAAGCCCTGAGCACATCCTGTGCCAAACCTTGCCATCTCAGCCAGACAGTTCCGCAGATATGTGCGCAGGACTCCCCGGTGCACGTAGCCCTGTATGGGGCTCCTGCCATGCAGCTCCCACAGCCGCAGCCCTGTATGGGGCTCCTGCCATGCAGCTCCCACAGCCTGTACCCCGCCTTTCCCTTGGAGCTGCACCAGGCCAGCACTGAGCAGCTGGACAGAGCAGGAAGGACAGGGCTTACCCAGCGTGGACCCCCCGAAGGTGGACTCCAGGGTGTAGCTGTTGCGGATCCCCATGCGCCACATCACCACACGGCCCGTGCCTTCCCTGCTCTTCTGGACCTTAAAATTACAACTCTGAAATGAGAACTGAAGAGGACCCCAGTGCTGTCACTTACACTCTCCCAGGAGACGGAAGATGCCTAAGATTCATGACTATGAAGTGAGATGATTTCCTTGGAGCTCTGCATGTGGTGGCTTCCTTCCTAAACTGTGTTTTTCACAAGACACTGATTCTGAGAGGAGTCAGTGAGCATTATAGGCGAGGTGGCACATGCCTGTCATCTTAGCACAGGAGGCTGAAGCAGGAGGAACTCTTGAGTTCAAGGCCATCCTGGACTATGGAGTGAGATCTTGTCTTGGAAAATCAATGAAGCTTCATTTCAGATCCCACTCCTAGGAAGCAGTGAGGCTCAGCCCTGGGTCAGCGCTCACCGTGTCTGGTGCGTTCTTGCTTAGCATCAGCGGGAAGACCCGCTCATGCAGCCAGCGTTTGTGGTCACTGCTGCTGCAGCCATACAGGAAGACGTTGTTCTTGCGGCTGTGGCCGTGGAAATCACAATACAAGAGAACCTCCCTTTCCTCCAGAAGTCTAGGGATGGGAGGGGAGCAAACACCAGCCTCAGGAGCCTTCGAGGGCCGTTGCCTTTGCTCCCCTAGATGCAGATGTTGATGCCTTTCCCTCTAGGAAAACCACAGCTCTGAGTTAGGCGTGGTGCCACACACCTGTGAGCCCAATGCTCAGGAGGCTGAGGCAGGAGGATCACTGCCTGTTCGAGGCCAGCCTGGGCTATGTACCAAGACCTTGTCTCAGAAAACCAAGAAACAAACCCAAACCCCACCCAGCCCGAAGACCTCACCTTTGGATCATGTTCCTGGTGTACCAGACGCACGGGAAGGCGTCCTTCAGGAGGGTCCTATAGTGCCTGTTCAGGTCCCGGCCGGCCAGCGAGCACCGGTGATTCCCCACGATCACACCGTCGGGGTTCAGCATGGGGACCACCTTGAAGACGAAGAGGTCCCGCAGGAGCTGTGCGTCCGGGGAGCCGCCCAGGATGAAGTCGAGGAAGCCGCGCATCACCCAGGAGCCGCCGCTCTCGCCGGGGTGCACCCTGGCGCTCAGCACCACGGCCCTCTTGGCGGCCGCCTGGCGGGGCCCGGGCGCGGGGTTGGTGATGGTGAGCAGGTACACCGGGTTGCCGGCCAGGCTGCGGCACAGCGCGCGGAGCTTGCACAGGCGCGCCTGCGCGGGGTCGCGGGCCACGGCGCGCAGGTAGCCCTGCAGGTCCGAGTAGGTGTAGGGGTAGCCGTGCGCCAGGAAGCAGGTGTCGCGGTCGTGCGGGAAGCGCGCCGTCCAGGTGAGGCAGTAGCGCGGCCGCCCCGCGCCCCCGCCGCCCCGCCGGTAGTACCTGATGTCGCCGCCCTCCCGGCGCCAGCCCACCCCGCGGCTGCAGGCGTCGCGCTGCGAGTAGAGCAGCGGCCGCAGGCCCGCCGCGTACAGGCTCCGGGGCTTCAGCAGGTTGACGATGGTGAAGCGGTAGGGGACGTCCCTGCGGGTGTTCTGCACGCGGAAGTAGAACCACTGCGTGTGTCGGCTGGTGTAGAGGTCGGGCCGCAGGGTGAGCTCGTATTCGTAGGTGTCCCTGTGGCCGAGGAGCCTGGAGGTCAGGTCGGCTCTGCCAGGCGCCTCACTCACACACCCCGGGACCACGGCCTTCCTGCTGCCCCTGACCTTTGTTCTCCTCCAGGGTTGCTTATTTATTTTTGTTTGAGACAGCATCTCACTGTGTAGCCCAGACGGGCCTGCAGCTCAGAGCCATCCTCCCGCCTCAGCCTCCCCAGTGCCCGGACTGCAGCAGGGCCCACCGCGCCTGGCTTCTACAAGTTACACTGCAGATGAGGGATTTTTCCTAGTACGGATTTTAGCTCTATTTTCTTCTGCGGGCTGAAGAGATGAGGCCACTAGTGTCTACTCCAGGGAAGTATGGGAGTGGAGATTCCTCTCCGTCCATGGGGCAGTCTCCACCATCCTGCCCTCTCGTCCTACACTCATTCCCGAGGACAGCGCCTGGCCCTGGACAGACAGATCACTCACACTCTGACGGCTTTTTGCAAGTTGCCACTCTCAAACCTCGACTCGAAGAGCAGGGTATCATCCTCTGGGCCACACAGGGACACAGCAAGCTGCTGGATGGCGCCCCGCTTGCCACCTACCCGAGAGCTGGTGAAGTAGGAGCCTTCTGTGGGCACTAGAGATGACAGAGGTGTTAGGTCAGGTTTGCTCAGAGGTTCCCAAGTCACTGAGTCCCCTCCCTGCCAATACTGTTGTGGGTTAATGTTGTGGGTCTAATTTCCTTCAAACTGGCAGCAGTCCTCTTGTCTCAAGTGCCCAAGTTCTGGGATGATAGACCTGTGCCACCAGGCCTGGCATTATTTTATATTTTATTTTAATATTTCATATTATATTTTATTTATTGAACCACATATGGTTCAGGCTGGCCTTGACCTTACTGGGTGGAACAGACTGGTCTGAACCCTGGGAATCCTCCCAAGTGCTGGGATTACAGGAGTGCACCATCACACCCTGCCTCACTTTTTTTTTTTTGTTTTTGGTACCGGGGATTGAACTCACAAAAAATTAGGAAAACTAAAATTATGGGGGCAGGGCGGGGGTTAGCTCAGCAGTGTAACTGCCTGCCTGAGGCAGGTGTGAGTTCATAAATTCAATCCCCAGTACCAAACAAAAACAAACAAACCCAAAATTACCATACATCCATTTTCCATAAGAAAAGTGATTTTTTTTCTTTTTGGTCTTCTTGAGCTAGGATCTCACTATGCAGTTCAGGCTGGCCTTGAACTCACTTTGTAGGCCAGGGTGGCCTGGAGCTCACAGTGATCCTCCTGCTTCAGCCTCCCAAGTAGTGGGATTAGGATTTTTTTAGTTGAATGGAATTAGACAAAATGCTACTTCAACTACTTCCTATGGAGTATCTCAAACATCTGACATTTTATTCTACAAGAAATATAAACAGGGAATGTAGCACAGCAGTATAGCACCTACCTAGCAAGCTCAAGGCCCTGGACTCAATTCCCAGTACCAAAAAGAAAAAACAAAAAAGCCACAACAAAAAGAACCCAAATATAAACAGAGCCTGGGCGGGCTGGTGCACAGCTGTAATATCCCAGCACTCAGAGGGTTGCAGCAGAGGGGTCACCATGAGTTTGCAACCAGTTTGGACTATATAGCAACACCCTTCCTCAAAAAATAAAAACAAGGGGCTGGGGATTTAGCTTAGTGGCATAAGCACCTGCCTTGCAAGCAGGCAGTCGTGAGTTCGATCCCTGGTACCGATAAAAAGGAAAAAGACAAAAAAAAAAAAAAAAAAAAAAAAAGGGGCTGGGAATTGAGCTCTGCAACTCAAGTGCTTGCCTGGGAAGCTTGAGGTTTAGGTCTCAATCCCTGGTACCAAAAACAAACAAACAAACAAAGAAAAAAAACAAAATGAGAACAAACAAACAAAAGTCTACAATTTGGTGATAAATTGTTTCTTTCAGACTACTACTTGGATGATCTGGGATTATAGGCATGTGTTACCACTGGATTACAGATTTTTTTTCCAGCACTGGGAATCGAACTCAGGACATTGAGTTTGCCAGGTAGGTGCTGTGCTACTGAGCTATATCCCTGGCCCTGGATTATGGATTTTTTTTTTTTTTTTGGTCTTTTTCTTTTTTTATCGGTACCGGGGATCGAATGCATGACTGCCTGCCTGCAAGGCAGGTGCTTATGCCACTGAGCTAAATCCCCAGCCTCTGGATTATGGATTTTTTTTGTTTGTTTGTTTGTTTTTATCGGTACCAGGGATAGAACTCACAACTGCCTGCTTGCAAGGCAGGCACTTATGCCACTGAGCTAAACCCCCAGCCCCTGGATTATGGATTTTTAAAATCACATTTTTGCTGGGCATGGTGGTGCATGCCTGTAATCCCAGCCTGGGCTCAGGGGGCTGAGGCAGCAGGATGCCTGAGAGTTTGAGGACAGCCTAGGTACATAGTGAGTTCAAGCCGAGCCTGGATTACACAGAGTCCTGTCTCAAAAAAAAATAAATAAATAAAACAAGACAAAAAACCAAAAAACAAAAACAAAACCATAGTGAAACCCTGTCTCAAAACACTGAGAAAAAAAGTTACTTTTCTTATGGAAACAAGGTGTATGGTAATTTGTCACGACAAATCCCTCACTGTGCTCTAAGATCGTGACATTACCTGACTGTAACTGATAGACAATTGTTCCTTTCTCCTCGCCGACAATTTCTGGTACCTTTTCATTTCCTGTTGGCTGATAGAAGTATTCTGGTTCTGGTGGGACCCACTCTGGAAGAAGATATTTTAGAACGAGAAATAATATAAATATACCATTATGACTGGTATGAAATTGCAGTAATTATCAAATGGCCAGGTTGGTCAAATTCAATCAGGTCTCATGCCATTTGCAGCTTTTTCCTAAATTAATTATACTTTGTATCTTTCTATAAAAAGTAAGAGGATACTTTTGACAAAAAGCATATACAATGTTGCCAGGCATGGTGATGCATGCTTGTAATCTCAGCACTCAGGAGGCTGAGGCAGGAGGAATTGTTTCCTAGGCTACACAGTGAACTCAAGGCCAACATGAACTACACAATAAGACCCTGTTTCTTTTTTTTTTTTTTTTTTTTTTTTTTGGTCTTTTTCATTTTTATCAGTACCGGGGATCAAACTCATGACCACCTGTTTGCAAGGCAGGTGCTTATGCCACTGAGCTAAACCTCCAGCCCCAAGACCCTGTTTCAAAACAACAACAAAAAAATTAAGAAAAGCATGCACAATCAAATAATACATCCTATTTATTTATTTATTTGTGAGACAGACTCTTGCTATGTGGGCCAGGCTGGACTAGAATTTACTATGTAGTCCAGCTTGTCTCAAACTCACAGCGATCCTCCTGCCTCGGCTTCCCAAGTGCTGGGATTATAGTTGTGCACCACTACTTCTAGCAAGCTTTCCACTTTTTCTCCGTCTTGGAATCAAGTCCCAGGACCTCACAGGAATTTGGTCTTGGTCTGCTAACCACTTGAGTCTACTCTTTTTCTACAAATCCTCCTGTGTGGCCAAGTCAGTCGGGCTTCTGCACACACTGTACAGGCACCTGAGGGTCTTATGACTCCCAGTTCCTCTGCCAATTCAAGCTGTCTGGTTCTCTTTCAAATGCCCAGGAGAGCTATCCCACGAAGATGCCAAGCACCCCTTCCTCTCCTTTCCAGCCCTCCCATCTCTTTCTGGAAGCCGAACTCTGCTAATGTTATACCAGTCCTGACCTCTCTCCTGCTAATTTTTTTTTTCAAAAAAACTACAAAAGAGCCAGGGATTTAGTTCAGTGGCATAATGCCTACTTGGCAAGAGTGAGGTTGTGAGTTCGATTCCTGGTACGACAACAATGACAACAAAAAAGCACAAAAAACGTGAAGGCAGAGTAGAGGAATGGGGAATCAAGATGTATTATGTACAGGTACAAATTCCCTATGATGAATGTGATCATTATGTACACCTGAATTGTACTAATAAACTTAATTAAAAAATAAAAGATTGCACTTACACTAAGAGCTCACAAATATGGCCACTATAATGTCATTAAAAAAAAAAAAAACCTTACCATTCCTATAAAAGACAATAAACTCAAAATGTAGTTTAAAATCTTTCCTGGCATATACAGTCTTCACGCAATACACCAAGACTGGTGAAAACACAATTCACTCAAGCGTAGGGGTACAGAGGCAGAAGCCCTAGAAAATGGCCCATGGCTGGTGCTGTAGGAGGAACCCCGGGTCCTCTCACCAGCCCCAGGCGCCTTGGACATGGGGTGCGGTGCTGCCTGGGCGTGGTCACCTTACCGATGTGCCGCACCTTCTCCTGGATGACCTCACACTCCACGGGCCAGCGTGGAGCCTGCACAGGGCCCCAGCCGGGGAGGATGGGGAAGAGCTCTCGGGGTTCTCGGAGCCGAGGGGCCCCCCTGTCTGCCTTGTCGTCGCTGTTGTAGAGGAGCTGCCTGCTCCTGACCCTAGGGGAGCTGGGAGCTGGTATCTGTGGAGCTGCGGGAGGGAAGGGAGAGGTGCCAAGCGTAAGTTTCCTCTTGGGATTTCGCCGTGCATGTGTGACAGTTAAGTGACATCAAGCATGGATGTATGGTCTTGTCTTTCCTTGGAGGAGCAGGTTTACTTAGCATGATACAGTCACAACTATACAATGTTAAGATTATGCAGAGTCCAGCCGGGTGTGGTGGTGTGCACTTCTGTAATCCCAGCACTCTAGGAGGCGGAGATAGGAAGATTACACATTCAAGCCTGGTCTAGGTAGTTTAGAAACTTAGTGAGACCCTGTCTCAAAACTAAAAAGTATAAAAGAACTGGAATGTAGCCCAGTGCAAAGGCCCTGGTTCAATCATAGGACTGCCAAAATAATCATAATAATACATAATCTATTAAATGTTTATATAACACTTTAGTCAAAATCTTTTTAAAAGATGAGTCCAAGTTATTTGAACAGTGGGTTACACAACTAAAAGGAGGTTACACAACTTTTTTGGGGAGAGGGCACACTGGAGATCCCTCGGCCCTCTGGGGTGCTGGGATGGCAATCCTGGGTCACTATACCTCACTCTTACTGTGTTCTATTATTTCATTTCTGTTCAGAGAGCCCAGAGGGGGAACTTTTAATTCACTCAGCATTTTAGGAAAACCAGTACATAAAACTTTTGTTTGTTTGCTTTAAGACAGAGTCTTGCTATATAGCCCAGACTGGCCTTGAACTCACAGTGATCCTTCTGCCTCAGCTTCCCAAGAGCTGGGGTCTCAGGTATGTGCCACCACCGTGGCATGGAGAGAAGGTTTTTGAGTGAGGTAAGAACTGCCTCAAGGTGCTACCCTGCCTCTCCCACCTGGGGCTGTCGAGGCAAGTGGGGCGGCTGCCAGCTACTCACACTCCTGCTTCTCCCGCAGGCCCCTGTGGCTCCGATGGTCCCCTACACCACTGCATCCACTCTGCTGGCCTCGCTGCTGGAAGGCTGGGCTGGCCCAGCCACCACTCTGCACTAGTGTGGTGGACACTGCCCTGCACGGAGGCTGGTAGTGTGCACCTGTTATTCCAGCACTTGGGAGGCTGAGGCAGGACGATCACCATGAGTTCAAGGCCAGCCTGAACTACAAAGCGAGACCCAGCCTCAAAACTAAAACAAAAACAAACACACAAAAAGCAAAAACAATAAAACACACTATATTCAGAAATTAGAAGCTAAACAAGAAAAATAAGCTGAGTATAGTGGCACACACCCGTAATCTTAGCACTCAGGAGGCTGAGGCAGGAGAATCATTGCAGGTTTGGTCCCAGCCTGCTAGTAATAAGTTCAAGGACAGAGGTGGCAGTAGCGGTGCAAAGACAGATAAAGAGACCAGACTAAGTGTCATGCAACAGGTGAGGAAGTGGATTAAGGGGAAGAGGAAGCACTCTTTACTCAGGGACCCTGAGAATGACTCTAGGTGTTCTCCCTGATAAGCACAAGGTTCACCTCGGGACCACAGGAAACCAGGCTGGACAGGGCCTCCACTCCACTACCTTGGAAGTAGCCGTAATACTGCAGGTGACGGTACATGAAGTCGTCGTAGGGGTCTGGCAGGGGCTGTGGGAGGAAAGTCACGCCCATTAGGGCAGCTTCTTCCAGGAAGCCCAGATTTTCTCCAAAGCTACCCCCCATCATGGTAGACAAGCACACAGACAGGGCTGTGGTGGTGAGTGTCCCGATGAGTTGTTCTATGCTGGGCTGGGTCTGCAGCTGTCCACAGCTGGACTGAGGTCTGGGGTTGTCTGTCTATGGGGTGCTGGGTGGGTGTGGACCGACCTGCTTGAGCTCTGTCTCCAGCGGTGGGAACATGCTACCTCTGCATCGTGCCCGCACTCCAAAGGGGCTGCTCATGACACAGAAGCTGCAAACCTGAGGAAGAGAGTAAATACCGCCGCGGCCAACAGGTGGGCGCGTATGGGCGAGGTGGGCACGACTGACACAAGATCACAGGTTCAACCTCAGCCCGGGCAATGTAGGAAGACCATGTCACAAGAAAAATATAAGAACGGAAGTTGGGCATGATGGTTCATTCCAGCACTCAGGAGGCTAAGGCAGGAAGTCCTCCAAGGCTGGGGTTATACAGAGTTAGAGTCCAGCTTGAGATGCATTAACTAGACTCTGTATCAAAAACTAAACTAAAGGGCAACCCACTCGGGACCCCTCCTATCTCTCAAGAGCTATTTCTAGTCCCCATTCCTATTCCCAATAAAATATCTTACTCTTCAGCAAACAAAAACCTGAAGTGAAATGAAATAAACAGCTGGGATATAGCTCAGTACTGCCTGAGCTCAAGGCACAGTCCCACACCTGCTGAGGTCCATGTCTCTGTCCCTCACTCTCTGTGGGGTATGGGCCACCAGGACACCCAGGAAAGCCGCTGGAAGCTCAGAGTTGGGGCTACCTGGCCTACTTGGCAGGTCACAGCGCAGGCGATAGAACTTCCAAGGTGAGGCGGAGCTGGAGGCTGCCCACGCCGAGCCGGGTCAGGGTCGCCCAGCTACAGCTCCCAGACGCAGCCTCACAGTCAGGAGTGGGTCAGGATTCCCCAGCCACAGCTCTAGACCCAGTGTAGCCTAGCAACCGCGGGCAGAAGCAGGAGGCGGAGCAAAGGCCGCTTCCGGTCTGCTAGGCCCCGCCCCCAGACAGGGCTCGGACATGGGAATGGAAGCTGGACTGAGAACGTAACACTTGCTGCTGGGTGCCCAGGGCCCTTTCTTCCTGCAGCTCTCTGCCCTGATAGCTAGAAAGTAAAAACCACCTTCTTCGTTGAAAACTAAAATGACCAGCTCAAAACCAACCAACCCTACAAGACCAAATCTCCAAAGCCAGGTCACTTAGCAGGTTAAGATGCTCACTTCTGCATATGTAAGAAGACCAAGTCAGGAGAACTCGCAGTTCAGAGACAAATGGTATTAGTTGGAGACTTGCAAATAACAAGAGAATGTTATGTGTGAAATGGGCACACTGGTGGTAAGTGTAATGATAAATCTGGCATACCACCAACGAAATGCCAAGCACTCAGAAACTAATGATGTGCACAGGAGCACACTGGAGTACAGAATCCAAACTGCTGTTGCCTTTGGTCAACTTTGGATGAATACAATCCACTATGTAGTACTTTTATTAAGAAGCTGTAAAGCAGGGGCTGGGGTTTTGATCCCCGGTACTGATGAAAAAAAAAAGCTATAAAACATCTTTAGTTTTTTCAAACTAGTAACCATTGCACATTTCTAGGACTTAAATAGGTCAAATATAGTGAGGATTACAAAGGCTCAGCATTCAGCACCACTGCAGGCTGGTCTCGAACCTGTGCCACAGCAAGGCCCTGGCCTTGCCTGAGGGCTGTTCAGTGTTCAGCTCTGCACAAGCCCCAGACAAAGTTAGGAAAACACAAATATCAGTAACAGAAAGTAAATCCTGGTTACACAACAGGTTTAGAAGACTAAAAATTAAAAAACCAAGCAGAAGTATAAAAAGAGCTTTATTAGTGGATATATACAAAATTTACAAGGTCAGAAACTGGAGAAATACAAATGGCTTTAAAACACAATTTGTTTTTTCTTCAGTTTAAAGTGACTTTACCTGATTGTGATACAATAGAAAGTACACAATAGCAAACTGCCTTTTAAATACTGAACTTTATGGAGAATACATTCACGTGGAGGCGAGGTGCCTGCAAGGACAGGGCAGGCAACACAGACACTGAGACGGAGTGCCTCTTGATACACACGGACTGTCACAAGTGCGGGGGATGCTCTCAATCCAGGCCTTGAACCGCTAACAGTGGTGGCTGCCTGTTCTGCCATGTAACTTGGTGACAAAGAACTCCTAGGAGCATGGCTAGAACATGCCAGACCTCCACTTCCTGGCCATGGATGCAGGAAGGCGCCAGAAGTCCAGCAAGATAGATGCAGAGCTGCTTAATTGCACTTGTTCTGGAGTTGGAGTCACAGCCACGTTAGGTGCCACCGGCTCAGCAGGCAGAGAGGCCTCCGCTTGCTCCAGGCCCAGAGAGGGCACGTGCTCTTTTCATGCTGGCCCCGTGCTGCAGAGCAAAGGCAGCCGGGTGAGGCCATCCTACCACCTGGTGTGACGGAGACAAGGACATCTCAAGGCTCTGCACTCAAATGTGTGTGGCCTGGAAGTGCTTTTGCGCCCTGTACCATTTACAGTTTACTGGGCAACAGTAAAACTGGTTAGGACTGAACCGAACACAAAACAAAACAATTATAAAAAAAATTTTAAACTATGTGTTTGGAGCCATTTTCCTTCTCTTTAGTCTTGCTCGCCAGTCCTCAGGAAGGGCTTCAAAATTCGCATTTCTCTCTGCCATGCCACTGTGGAAACAATGCACAGGTTACCGCACAGCAAAGAAAGGAACCCTGCTCCCCAGCCAATGAGACCCACTCTGGACACGGTGACGGTGCCAGCTCTACGGTGCTCACCTGACCAGCTGCTGCTGCTTCCACTCCTCGATGCGCTTCTGGGCTGTGGACTCCCGGTCCTCCTCACTCGAACTTGAGTTCTCCTCTTCGTCTAGCTCCCGCTGGATACTCTGCCACTTCTTTACCAAAGATGGCATTTTGGTTTTGCTTTTCTTTGTCTGTAACAATGGTGAATGATCAGGAAGTATGTGATATACTAAAATAACAAATGCTCCTTCCTACTGGTGAGCAGCTTTCTCTGATTCTAAGGAAGAAGCAGATGTTACAATCATGGTATCAGATCACATCAGAGAACACATTTCCTCTCACTGCCTCCTGCTCTGCAGTGCTGGGACTGACCCCAGGCCTCAGCGCACCTCAGAGCTGCACCCAGCCCTGACTGGAAACCCAATTCCTTTGCAATGCTTGGATCTGAACACCCAGCTTCCCCAACAGCACCTGGGAACCCACAGCGACTGGGTAGGCAGACACCCTGGAGACTGCGCGATGCCAAGTTTAACTCCCAGAGATGGATCAGAAGACATCACTTCCCTCCCTTGTCTTTTCTTTCCCTTTCTACAGGTCTATAGTGAATATACTTTGGAAATTGCAGAAAACTGCCAAATGGTGCCCGCGGGAGATACCTGCTTCTGACAGGGCCACCTTCTCCAGCGTCCCTGTGAGGGTCTCACCAGCGGAGGTCCTCTGCCCTGGCCAAGTGTGACTGGTGTGCTTTCCTCACCTCCATACTGCCTGCTGGTGTGATTCTCCAAGCTGCCCACCCTGGACCACAAGGGAGCGCAACAAAAGCAGGGGCTTCCTTCTGATTCACCGCCCACTCACCCTGGAGAGCCGCCAGCGCTCTCAGGAACAGCCCTGCTGAGTGAAACCCGCGAGCTGTGTGACAGCACAAAGTCACTTGGGAGACAGGCCCAGCACTATCCACTCCAACTTTTTCCTGGCCGTTCCCAGGCCTCTGCACTAAGCTACATCCCCAGCTTTTGTGATTCTGGAGATGGGATCTTGCTGTGTAGTTCAGGCCAACTCTGAACTCATTACCTGATACCCAGGGAGGCCTCGAAATTGTGGTGATCCTCCCTGCCTTGGCCTCCTGAGTGCTGTGATTATAGGTCTCTGCCATCATGTCCAGTTCCTGATCCCAAACATTCTTCTACTTATTTTTGAGACAAGGTCTTGTTATGTAGTTCAGGCTGACCTTGACCTCATGCCAAACTTCCTGTCTCAGTCTCCTGGGTGATAGTTGTACCACAGCCCCAGGCCATCAAATATTCTTTTTTGGTACCAGGAACTGAATTCAGGACTTTGTACTGGCACCACTGGGCTACATCCCAGCCCCCTATTCTCCATGATTAAAGGTATTAATACAGTTTGTAAAAACTTGACTAGAGGGGCCAAGGATATAACTCAGCAGCATAAGCACTTGCCTGGCAAGGATGTGAGTTCAATTCCTGGTACCCAATCCTCCCCTCCAAAAATTCTTGAGTGAAACCTCTGATGAGAACAGTGACATACTTTAGATTTTTGGGTTAGGGACAAGAAAGGCAATGGCAGGAACAATAGCAGCTGGATGGGACTGAAGGTAGGCATGCAGATGTCTAGATGGCTAAAGTCAAGCAACACACATGCGCATGCCAATGCAAATACTCCTAGAGCTGACTAACAAACTCAGCAAAGCCCTGTGGACCAGAGGCACAGGTCAGAATCAGTTCTGTATCTCTTTAAGTACTAGCAATAACCCCCAAATAAATGAAAGCAGTTCCAATCAAAATACCACCTTGCAAAAAAAACAAAAAACAAAAAACAAAAAAAACCCCCCAAAAAACAAAAAACAAAACAAAACAGAAAAACACCACACCCAAAGATCAATGGAACAAATTTGAAGATGCAGAAACAATTTCAGACAGGCTACTAAGCCACCTTATCTTTGACAAAGTGCCAAACACATTCACTGGAAGAAGGAAAGCCTCTTGAATAAATGGTGCTTAAAAAATTAAAACTGGACCCATCTCTTTCACTGTGTACTAAGCTAAAATTGGAATGGATCAAAGAGCTTAATATTAAAACAAATATTAAATCTGCTGGAAGATAAAGAGTAGATAAAACTCTTGAAGACACTGGTGTAGGTAAAGACTTTATGAACAAAACCCTGAATGCACAGGAACTATCACAAAGAATTAGCTAACTGGGATCTCATGTTACTGAAAAGCTTTTGCACAGCTAAAGAAACTACCAAAAAAAATGTAGAGACAACCCACAAAGTGGGAGAAAAGTGTTTGCCAGCTGTTCTTCAGACCAAGGATTACTATTGAGAACATATAAAGAACAAAAAAAGAAAAAAAGTCCCCCCAGATGTAAAGACCTAATCCAAAAATGGGCACCTGAGATGAATACACACTTCTCTGATGAAGAAATACAAATAGCAAATAAATATATGAAAAAATGTTCAACATTGCTGGTCATTCAAAGGATGCAAATTAAAACCACTGAGATGCCACCTCACTCTGGAAAAAATAGCTATTTATCAAGAAATCAACCAATCACAAATGCTTGAGGGGTTGTGGGGAAATAAGCCCTTCTCCATTGTTGGTGGGAGTGTAGACTGGTACAACCACTGTGGGAATCAGTGTGGAGATTCTTTAAAAAACTAAGAATAGAGGTCCCATTTGATCCAGCTATTTTGCTTCTCGGCATATTCCCAAAAGAATTAAAAAACATCACACCACAGCAATATATGTTCACCCATGTTCCTAACAGCACAATTTGTATAACTAGATCTTGGAACCAACCTAAATGGATAAAACAGATGTGGTACTTTTATACAATGGAGTATCACTCAGGCATGAAGGATAAACTGGAGACTTAGAGGTACATGGATGGATGCAACCTGAGAATATACTCATTAGTGAAATAAATCAGACACAAATGTTTAACATCAAGTTTTCACTAACGTGAGAAGCTGAAACACTGTATGTATACATACAAATATATAAAAAAAGATAAAGATAGTTACACTACTGATTCCTCTCAGTTCATCTGAAGAGAAAGCTTTGTGCCAGTATTGTTCAGACAATTGCATGTAGTTGTCTTGTGCTCTGGGTGAATGATTCAGGGGTGACAATGCACAATGTATGTACCATTGTCCTCCCTTGACTGACATGTTTTGAAATTTTTTTCTCTTTGAAATAAAATGGATTTGGGGCTGGGGATTTAGCTCAGCAGCCTAAGCACCTGCCTTGCAAGCAGGCAGTCGTGAGTTTGATCCCTGGTACCAATAAAAATGAAAAAGACCAAAAAAAAAAAAAAAATCACCTCGAAGGATGAAGAAGAAACTGAATTGTTAAAAAGGCAAAAGATTTAAACTTAAACTAGAAATACCCTGAAAGAAATGAAAGCATGAGTGGTGCGCAAGCCCATGCTCACTTGCCAGGTCGAACTGTGGACAGGCAGTGGCACGGGGGGGGACCGGAGCCTTTCCAGGTTCACCCGGGGGGCATGCAGGAAAGCCGCAGAGCTGCAGAGCAGCGCTGAGCTCCGCAAAGCACCGACAGTGCATCCCCAGCCAGGGCCTGCTCGGCAACGGGGTGCCTGGTCTCTCCAACTTGGTGCTGGAAAAGTGCCAAGCACGTGCAGCACACCTGCTGGCTCTGTCCTTTGTGTCATATGAACAAAAACAAGTATTATCCAAACAGATGGATAAACTGCCTAAACAAGTTTTAAAATTGTGATTTTAAAAGAAAACATGAATAAATCTTTATCTCCTTGCAATGGATTATAGATATGGCCACCAAAAATAAAAATTCACCAAAAGGAAAGAAAAAGATTAAAATGGGCAACTGAGCAGGACCCTGTCTTAACACATTAAAGATGGGCTGGTGATGGACCTCAGTGCAAACCTCTTGGTATCAAAAAATTTCAAACAAAATTCCATTTGCTCTCAGCAGGGAGGGAGAGAGGAAGACAAATTAGACAGGGAGAAAGCAGCTATAAATCGTGTCACAAAGGACCTGTGCCTGGGACTTACACAAAAAATTCTCAAAACACAACTACAAAGATAAACAGCTCCCAGTTCTCAGGCGAGGCAGGTGGGACGCAGACGGACTGTCTGAAGGTCACAGGAGCGCTCTTGCTTAGCACAGGGACATGGATCAGGTCACTGAAATAAAGTACCAAGGGTGGTGGGCAGCCAGGCTCAGTCCTGAGCAGCAGTTTCTCCAAGAAGAGACACAAATGACCGAAATGAACCTGGGTGACATCTCCAGTGAGCCCACAGTGCCTGCCACTGCTGTCAGAGCCACCACCTCTACCCACTAGATCTTACACGATGAAAACAAGACTAAACAAGACAGTAAAAGCAGAAGCTCACGTAACAGACGACACGTTCAAGGGCAAGTGTAAGTGGGCAGTGGGTAAGGGCTGCCAGCACAGCCCTCCTACTGGCTGGGGGCAGGGCGGCTTGCTCAGGGCTGGGATGGCACCCAGCAGAGCGGGTGTTATTTTTTAAGTGTCCTCCCAAAGCCTCATACAGTCGTGAAGGCGGCTGAGTCTAGTGTTCGTGACTGGTTTGCTGTCTAGCACCGGGACTGGTGGTGTGAGTGCTGCACCCGCCCGGGCCGAGCCAGCATACAATACAAGGCAGGAAAGAAGGTGATTTTCTCACTTTGCCGTTTGCTCTTGTTGCTTGCAGCCACCGTTCCTTGGAGCCAGCTGAGTATGGACTGAAATCTCTAAAAAACTAAAATAAACCTTTCCTAAAAAGCTAAATAAACCTTTCCTTTCTACATTTTGGGTGTTGGGTATTTTATCCCTGCAATGAGAAAAAAGTAACCGAGACAGTAGGGTGACAGCAGGAGTGTGAGAGGGAGGCCCAGGCGGCAGTCAGAGGGCACCGGGAGGGCTGCTCAATGGACAAGGCCCTCTTTAGGGGAACAAACTGCTCTGTCATTAGACGAGGTGGTGAGTGCATGACACTTGAGTGTGCTAACGCTATTAAATTTAACACTTTAAAAATGGTTAATTTTATCTGAGTGTGGTGGCACACACCTAGTCTGGGTGACTTAGCAAGGCCCATCTAAAAATAAAAAAATATAAAAATACCGAACGCTTTTTAGAAGAGTCAGCCACCTTGTCTTTCTTTCCTTTCTTCGTCTTCTCGGGTGGCAGCACTTTGGGAGTTGGAGGTGGTGGCGGTGTAGGAGGTGGTGGTGGGGGAGGTGGTGGCTCTATCACAGCAGTGGCAGGCACGGCCCCACGGGCCTGGACGGGCTGCAAGGTGGCTGTGGTGACTCCCATGGAGACAGAGCACTCAGCGTAACTCATGATGGCCGGCGTGGCTGCAAGGCTCAAGTAGTTGGACTGCAGGCTCAACCCTCTGGCCTGGTGACCCAGGCCTGTGGCTGTGTGGCCAAGGGACATGGCCTGGGGTCCAATCCCTGCAGCCTGGGGACCTAGCACAGAAAACAGAACGGTGTGAACAGGACACAATGACAGAACCAAAGCAAGACCTACAAGGAAAAAAAGATCACAATGCGATCACAAGGCTCACAAAATGATCCTAGAACATCTCAAAAAAATATAGCTCAAGCCAGTTGTAGCATTTGCCTGTAATCCCAGCACTAAAGCAGCTGAGGCAGGAGGACCACCATGAGTTTGAAGCCAGCTGGGGCTACACAGTGAGTTCAAGGTCACCCTTAACTACACATGAGACCTTGTCTCAATATAAAAAACAAGCTTCTCCAAACCATCTGTATTTGCTAGCAGCAAAATGACTGCTGAGGGGCTGGGGATTTAGCTCTGCGGCATATGCGCCTACCTGTTAAGTGCAAGGTCATGAGTTCAATCTCCAGTACCAAGAGACTACTGCGTAGTTGAGGGTTAAGGTAAAAATCACTCGATGTATGTGATGCACAGGAAACACTGTGGAAGGGTACCCGCCAAGCTGCTGTAATAGTGCTCTTCAATAACTGCAGACGACACGTATCTGCAGTCCTCACAATCAACTCCCCACGCTTAATGCTGGAGACAAACCACCCCGCAGTGGGGTAGAAGCGAGCTCTTCTGCTTACCAGTGGCCGAGGGAGGCTGGCTGTAGATGACCGGGGAGCTCCCGATGGTGGCTGACCGCTGAACCACTGCACTACTTATTTCTGCCGCTTTCCTCTTCATTGCCTTTGTGGAGGGAGAGCTGGAGACAGTGGTATCCACAGCACTCTGAAACACACACCCTCTGCTCAGGCTGCATGCCTGGAGTCCACGGCCCCCCTCAGAGCACCTAGGGCACCTACCTGGGTGGTGACGACTATGGCCTGGGCTGCTAGTTTCAAAGGAGTGTCCTCCTCCGTCCCGGGTGCAGGGGGCTCCTCATTGCCCTCATCCTCCATCTCTACCTCCTGGATCTCCCCATCTTCCACTGGGGGTGGTGGTGGTGGTGGTGGTGGTGGTGGCGGGGACTCTGGAGGTGGGGGTGGAGGCGGTGGCATCTCCAGGGGAAGTGGAGGCTGCAGCACAGGCACATTGGACTGAAGGAGGGTCCAGAACGGAGTGAGTGGCATGAGTGATGAAGAGGACACTTGAGTAGAAAAGGACTCTTTACAGAGGGAACCTATGAAAACAAAGAGGGGTCAGAGGAGCAGCAAGACGGGCCCCACGGCTGCCAAGGCCAGGCCAGGCCAGGCCAGGCACGCGCCGTGGCAGACAGTGGGGACAGGGCCCCAGGTTCCCAAATCACTTCTGCACCAAGGATGAGGATGCGGTCTTGGACCTAGCACCTTCCCCGGCTGGGTCACACACATCCTGTTCTTTGGGCCAAGATTTATAAATAAATAAACGATCACTGTAACTCACTGAGACACTTGGTCATCTGAATCTGTAGTTGAGGTTTTTCAATTTCAAATGTTCAGTTTCGACATCTGATACTGCTTGAGTCTGAGTTACAAAACTACAACTGAAAAGCAGCAGCACCAACAACTCCCAAATTTGGTAAAAGGCACTGCTGACTCCTGGTGACTCCGGCAGAGCAGGTGAGAAGACAGGGAGGATACTTACTTGAAGCTTCCTCCCTCCTGTCAAGAGGGAGGTCTCACAACATATGGGACTACGAGACCTATGTCTAGGAGTGCTGAGGGGTTTTTTTTCCCTAAAATCACAGAATTTAGGAGAAGACATAAGAAATCACCTAGTTCACCCTCTTCACTGTAATGGTGATGTGACTCAGGCAGGTAGGGCCTTCAAGATCAGCCAGCTGCACAGCCAGGCTGGGACTGGTTAACTCCTCCTGAGTACCTTTGACTTTTGTATCAAGACATCCTGCTGAAATGTCAGGAGTCCAAGGGCTTGGAAATCTCAAAAATCTTGCTTTTCACAGGATCCAGATGCCATTACCTGTCAAATTTCATGATCTAAAATGATAGAAAGCCCCAGAGTTCAGGAAGCTGAAACAGGAGAAGGGCAAATTTCAAGGCCAGCCTAGGTTATAGAGCAAGACCCTAGAGTAGAAAGCCCAAAACACTGTGCTGCCAGCCCTTGATGAGACAAAGGCCAAGCGACCAAATGGTATTTGGCTTTTACAGAACAGAAAGAAGACACACAGCGCCAGACTCCACTATGGCTCCCATTTTCTGTGTAAGCAGATCTGCTTCTACTGCTTATGGAAAACGCCACTGAGAACCTGGATATCAGAAAACATAAATGCAGTTTTCCAGCTCAAAGAAGTCAAATGACCCATTACATTTTCATATTTGGTATTGTGATATTAACTGACACGCTAACTTTCAGACGAAGTCTGAGTATGGTCAGAAAACCTGTATCAGCTCATAGCATAGCAGGAGTACATCAGTTAGCTGGGCACAGTGGCAATTTTGAGGCCAACCTGAACTACATAGCAAAACTCTTAAAAAAAAGTTACGTCAGAACACAGGTAATAAATGTTGGAGATTAATTATTAACTAAAAATTAAACTTTCTTTTACCAAACTAGCCATAACACATGGTGCACAGCTGGGAACAGTGGGCTTCACATCCAGTGGCACTGTGCCATACTGGTACTGCTGTGACATTAACAGAGGTAATCAAGCACAGGAACCCAAGGACTCAGGCAGGTCGAGGTCAGTGATGCACTTCTGACTCCCCACAAAGTTCATAGGGATGAACTGGACCTTGTGTAAATAGAAAACTACAATTGATAAATTTAGTCACAAATGAGTATTTTTAAAGCATACCTGAGTCTCGAACTAAGTTCACTCAAACATTAAAGCTGCATCTTAAACATTGACAACTGTCTCCTTTGATTTAAACACAAAGAAATTAGGAAACTCATTTGAAACCAGTGAAGTCTACTAGGATGATGGGTCACTTTGTATCTAAACTATCCAGTTGGCATTTCTGTCAGGTAAGAAAATGTTTAATTCCAAAGTCTAGAGATTAAAATACCATGCCAGTTTTCATCACGTGCTAAGACTTTTAAAACTACACACTTAAGATGCAATAGTATGAGGGCACAAGTTTTTACTTCAAGATTTTTTCTAGGCATTTAAATTTGTATTTATAAGCAAACTCTCTTATTTACTCTCAAAGAGAACTTACTGCTTGCTATTTTGAATAAAAGACCAGTTTAGCAACTTAAAAATATTTCCATGGAGATTGAAAAAGACCACCAAATGTAACCTGAGTGACACAAACCAGCAAGAAAGAGCTGCTGGACCTGGTAAGCTGAAGCATCATACTTTGGACACAGTCTGGACACAGGGTGGGCCGCATCTGGTGTGTGTGTGGGGTACCCTGGGGTGCAGGCTCAGGCTGGATTTGTGTCCCAGGGCCACCAAAAGAGAAAGCAGAGAACTGTACACCTCCTTGGCTCCTCAGAGTGTAGCCAGGACCATGGTGGTGAGCCTATGATGTGTGCCACTGCAGGCTTTGTGCCTTAGAAAGCTCTTGAAGTTCCAGCACCACTGGGCTAGGACTTCAGTCCACTGCCTCACACATAGCGTTCTACTGAGATAAACCCTTGATTGGACTTTTATTCTTTCTTCCACCCCTCACTTTTAAGTGCTGGGGATTGATCCCAGGGAATGTGTTGAGCTGTATTTCTTTTTTTGTCTTTTTCCTTTTTATCGGTACCGGGGATTAACTCACGACTGCCTGCTTGCAAGGCAGGCGCTTATGCCGCTGAGCTAAATCCCCAGCCCCTGTTGAGCTGTATTTCAAGAAACTCATACTTTTACTCGTAAAATGTAATTATTGTTACATATCCAATTTTAATTTTTTAAACTAGCTGGGTTAGTACTTAGGATGGCACTGTACAAAATTAACCACCATTCAGGTCTGGAAACACTCAATGATTTTTTTTCCATTTGTATAGAAGATTATATGCTGGGGCTGTGCATTTAGCTCAGCGGCATAAGCGCCTGCCTTGCAAGCAGGCATTCGTGAGTTCGATCCCTGGTACCGATAAAAAGGAAAAAGACAAAAAATTATATGCTGTATGAAATATGTTCATCCTTACGGGTTTGATTACAGAAACTAGTAAGGTAAGGTATTCTCTAAATACATAAATATTGTTTGAAGATTGGGTCCATGTAATCTAGGCTGACCTCAAAACTGTGATCCCTGTTCTCAGCCTCTCAAGTGATAGGGCTAGCAGACTGCACCACACTTCCAACTTTAGTGTGTGTGTGTGTGTGTGTGTGTGTATGTATATATGGTTCTCAGTATTGAACATAAGGCTTTTTGCACTAAGCTACATCCTTAGCCCTTTTTGTATTTTTTATTTTGAGACAGTGTCTTGCTAAGTTTCCTAGTCTGAGCTCGAACTTGCAATCTGTCTTCCTTGGTCTCCCAGAGAGCTGGGTTACAGATGTGTGCCACCGTGCCTGGCTGGTTTGGATTTTATTTTGACAAAGCTTATCACACTCTGGGACACTCAACAGAGAGGCTTGAAAGCAAATGTCAGTTTATCAGTGTTTTTTTCCTCCTGCAACACAATTTATTGTTTTAATCAGCTAAGAGTGGCTAACATCTTATCTTTTACTACCCTGTACCCACCCATGCACACTGCAGACAGGGCCTTAACTCTGAGATGTTCTCTATAGTTGCGGTAATTGTAGAAAACAACTTCATACAGGTGGTGAGCAGTCAGGAGCAGAGCCACCTGCTTGGCAGCCTGACTGAGGGCAGCAGACGGTGCTGCCCTTGGTTCTCAAAGAGTGCAAAGTACACAGAAGAAATGGCAGGCAAACATAAGTGGATCCCTGCCTGCCAGAAAATAGTGCTGGCGTGGAACACTCAAGCCGACCTTCCACTCCCTTCTGAAACCACACTAGGTTCAGGGGACTTTACTGTGGCATCTGGGCTGCTTCAGGTGCTCGGTCCTGTGGGACACCATGGGTGGTATCTGGTGTATTAACCGCAGCTCTGCTACTAGGACCTTGCAGCCAGGGGCCTTCCCAGCACTATCCCCGATGGGGGGAAGACTCCGCTGTTCACTGGCTATTTACCAACAAACATGCCATGTCTGTATTTTCCAGTTCTGCTATTTTAGAGGTCACTCCAGATTCTTACCTTCTTTTGCCACAACAACCAGTGAATGTGTTTTAAGATCAGAAGGCTGTTAATCACAGTTCTTGCTTCATTTACTTATATTTGCCATCCCAAGTCAGATGGACACAGGAGAAATGTAGTTTTTACGGTGTCAAGTTCTGGCTTTTCTCAAGAGCTCCTTCAATCCTCACAGTAACACAGGAGCCATGAAAGTTTCTTGTTAAAATAAGAATGTGCAGCAAACTTAGTTCCTTGCAGAGCAGCAGAAATGGGTGACTCCTGAATGCTTGACTGCTGCTAAGGTTCGAACTGAGACTGCCTCCAGTGTCGCAGGCTCACAGGCAGGGTTCTGGAGGGGACTGCTATGGGGTGCTCAATTGGTCCTTCAAAGATAGGAACTGATCACAGGGGCATGACTCAGAAGTATTCACCTCCCTCCTGGGAACCTGTTTGTCTTTGGATTCCTGTAAACCACCAGGAGGGGAATGGCCTTCCTCCAAAGCGGGCCCTTCCACCAGTCCCCTTGCCTCCGGGCAAAGTAAACCTTTCACTCCCTAAGCTATGGGTGTCAGGTATTTTGTCCCAGCAATGAGGAAAGTGACAGAAATACCATTTGTATTTTTTTAAATGAGTAATTTTCTAGCTCGTCTGAAAAAAGCATGGTACTAGTTTACAGCCTTTCCACCCATCACTCTCATTTGTTTTGTACCAATGACATATTAGATTAGTTGAGCTGGGAATTGTGGTGGTTAATAGCAACAAAACAGACAAGTCTCACACAGACACAGCTGCACCAGCCACCAGGTACTGTTCAACTCAACTACCTGGCTCCTTTGTGTGACTAGACCCCTATATTTGGAGATCCACAGCCTTCTCTGTGACATAATCATAACAATCTAGTGTTTTTTTAAATGTGTATTTTTGCGGGGGGCGGGGGGGATCGGGTATCAAGGACTGAACTCATAACCTCCTATTTGCCTGGCAGGCAATTGTGTTGCTAAGCTAAGCCCCAGGCCCTAGTGTGCATTATTTTTAACAACTATAGAAAATAAAGTTATACTTTATAAAGGTACCATTGCATGTTTCCTAAATGGAATCTTTTTTTCTTTTTGTTCTGTGGTAATGGGCACTGACCCTAAGGTCCTCCCATTGAGGTACAATCCCAGCATAGCTCTTGTTATTTTGAGACAAAGACTAAGTCACTAAGTCGCCCACACTAGACTACAACTCGCATGAGCCCCCCCCCAGGGTTGAGGGGTGCTGGTAGTCCCACAGAGCCCGGCTAATATGCAGTGGGCCCATCTTTTCGTTTTTGGGCACAGGCTGATGCATGTTACGCTGATTTCCAAACTGCCTTAATTTTAGTATAACTCATACATTCTTTTAGTTCATGTCTTCTAAATTTAGCTTATGTCTTTTTGTTTTACAATAAATTAGTGACTTTTTAAAAATCACTGCTTTCCAACTAGGCAGAGTAAACCATCTCACCTGTGGGATTCTCGGAGGACTCTGAGGAACCGGACTCAGCGCTGGGTTTGTCTTTCAAGCTGGGTTTAGAATGAGTCTCATCTCTACTCTCTTGTGCATGGCCTTCCTCCTCCTCCTCGCCATCTGGGAACTCCCACTGAGACTCGCCCGATTGCTCGTTTACATAGAAATACCGTCTATGATCCCTAAATTACAAGAAAGAAAACACAGGTTTTAAAGCCCACTCCCCTACAGAGACACATATATTCGGTCCTGTCCCAGGGCAGCAGTGTGCGCTCACAGGGACGAACCTCTTATGGACTGCTATTCACAAAGGCAACAAAGAGCTTTGATCACTGAGGAGGGAGAACCAAGGAGAATTCAAAGCTATTTGCACTGCCGGCAGCTCTGTGAATACAGTCCTGCACCCTCTCGTTCCAGCACACGACTCTGACATCTCTCTATGTTTTTTTGTCAATGAGTAACAGGGTGCCAAGTTTCATTAATGGAGGGACTCAATCGCCTAGAACACTAGTTTCCCTTCGAAAGAAGAGAACAGCACATTTGTGAAAGGTGACTCTTCCCCTCTTGGACCGTGGAATTCACAGTTCATATTCTTGATATCAAACACAGTGAAAGCTAAAGAGAGGGAGAGGATCTGGGAGCTGAAAAATAAAAGAGCAAAGATTTCAAATAATGAAAAAAAAAAAATCAAGAAAAGCCAAATATAAAAAGAAATGTTTTCATCTGACCTGCTGGCAGAGGATAGTAATCTTGTTCTTCATTCACATCTTCAGCCACGAAGCTTTCCTTAACTTCGCCGAGGTTAATCAGGAGTAGGAGCTTCCAGAGGTCCTGTAAAGCGCACAGAGCTCTCGCATGCGCTTAGCCCCCAAGCCCGCCCTACTCCGTGCACTCTGGAGAGGAAACACTGGCTTGGTCCGATCTTGGGAAAAAATCCGTTACGCAGCAAGCTGTAAACACTCTTGCTCTGTCCGCTGTGTGGTCGGCCTGGACTCTGCGTGCGGCCCTCAGCCTGCCTGGCCGCTAACTGCAGCGGCATCAGTCTCCAGGCAGGCCAGGCCACCAGGGCGTCACGTGGCGGTGATCACAAATCATGTCTGAGGTGTCAAAGGTGAAAGGTGAGAGGGGGAGAAGAGTGCGTACCTGTCCCAGTGGCAGGACCAGCCTTTAGGAGTGGCGTTTATTTCATACTGTTTTAGTTGTTCTGCTGCATCCTGAAGCTTTCGTTTAAGGTAGTTTCCATTAAGAGCCCCTTCTCGCCAGTCTGCAATTCGAGTCTAGAGCAAGAACAGAAATGAAAAGTTCCATCAGGAGACACAAGGAAGAGGGACTTAGGTGTACCATTTGGCTCAGCTGCTCTGCTGTACAGAACCACACCCCAGTGAGGAAAAGAAATTGCACTTCAAGTTTTTTGGGTGGAGGAACCATGTCTAGTCATACAGGAGGCAAAACGTCACTCGAAAATAAATCAGGCACACAGACAAGTGTCAAGACTTCTCTTGTAGGACAAACCCCAAGTACAAATAATCTTTTTTTTTTTTTTTTTTTTTGTCTTTTTCCTTTTTATCGGTACTGGGGATCGAACTCACGACTGCCTGCTTGCAAGGCAGGCGCTTATGCCGCTGAGCTAAATCCCCAGCCCCCATAATCTTAAAAACGAAAGACAGAAAACATGAAAAGGGAGGTAAATGTTTTATAGATGGGAAGGGGACCCAGAGAGTGAGGATGCGCTCCATGCACGCTCCAGGCCAAGAGGGATACAGATGAAGGAGATCACCACGAAGTGGCTCAGAGCAGGATTTAAAAATAAACCAATTGGTGGGGATGAGGATTTAGCTCAGCAGCATAAGCGGCTGACTTGCAAGTGCGCAGTTGTGAGTTCGATCCCTGGTATTGATAAAAAAACAAATAAATAAACCAAATGGCTTTCTCTGTTTACTTCTGAGTTTGCTCCAAGCCTAGGCCCATTGTCTGGAGATGGACTAGATTCTCAGCAAGTGAACCTCTATGACTCACCAGTCCTGGCTGAGGTCTGTGATGCTATGATGGCTCAAAGGACAAGACAAAGCCACAGCTGAGGATGCTTGGCTCCAAACCCAAGTAACTCGGTAAGACTATAGCTGTGGGCATCTCACTCCAGAAATGAGAGGAGATAAGCTAATTCTCCTAAATTAACATACTTCATTACTTGGAAAAGTCCTTGTGCTGACTCTCAAGGTCCTGCTCAGCCCCCTCATTTTCTACTCTAAGACCTTCCCTTGTTTAAAAACCAAACATGGCCCACCCAGAGAAAGTCTTGGTCTGGACCCTCAGAGAATCTCAAACTCTTGCTACAGGGTTTGGATCCTCCTGGAGCCTAAAAACTACACCTTTTGTCCCTTTTATTTAAGTGTTCCCTGTCCACTCTGGGAGATTGTGGCCTAGTAAGCTTGCAAGAGGGGTAGCACACAAACTTAAGGCACAGGTATGCACTGGGCTGAGCGCACGGATTTCAAAACAAGCCTGATTTGTACTGAAAAATTAGACTGGACACTTTATGGCTCAATGCAAACAGAAGCCCCAGCTCTGTCTCCCATGAATGTAAGACACATCATCCCCATGACTTTTTTCCTTACTTTCTTTGGCCTTTCCCCCCAGGCAGACCGTCCAGTTCAAAGCTAAGTGTTAGATGCACAAGCTTAGCGCACGCCTATAATCTCAGCACCTATGAGAGTAAGGTAAAGGGATCGCTGTTTCAGCCCAGCCTGGATAAGTAGTAAGACCCTGTCTGAAAACACAAAATACTGTAAAGAGTTGGTGTGGTGGTACACACCTGTAATTATAGTACTTGGGAGGCTGAGTCAGGAAGATTGCTTTAAATTCAAAGCTACTGGTTTGTGGATTTAGCTCAGCGGCATAAGTTGCCTGCCTTGCAAGTGCATGGCCATGAGTTCAATCACCAAAACCGGGCCCTCCCCCGCCCAATTCGAAGGCTACCTTAGAATACAGGTGAGATTTTCTCAAATAACACTTCCAAAAGGGCTGGGGATATAAGAGGGTGCCGCATTCAATCCCATATGCCACCAATAACTACCTAAATGAATGGGCTGGGCACAGGGGGCCACCTAGTTCTAGGTTCCATCTACAGTGTGCGCGGGGTAAGATCTTTATTAAAATGTATGCCTAATGAAGGAAGTAAGTATCAGTATACCCAACCATCAGCATTTACCTTCATGACATTTTGCTTTGACTAATGAAGTTTTATTTCCTGAGCCTTTATAATTTAACATAAAAAACTACTTTGTGGGCTGGCAATTTAGCTCAGTGGCGTAAGTGGCTGTCTTGCAAGCACGAGGTCATGAGTTCGATTCCTGGTACTGATTAAAAAAAAAAAAAAAACAAAACACCAAAAAACTACTTTGCAAATGGTAGTGCACACCTACTCTCCCAGCACTCAAGAGGCTGAGACAGGAGGATCACTTCAAATTCAAGGCCAGCTCTGAACTCAAGAAAAAACTGAGATGAAAAGCCAGCAGGACAGACTGATAACATGCAGCATTTCCACGCACTCGATCTCTAATAAACCTCACCTCAGTCTGCAGGAGCAGCACATGGAAGTTGGAGATGGACTGTCTGCTAATGCCTAGGAACTCGAATTTACTTGTCAGGGTGTTTGCCAGCTCTCCTATCTGAAACTAATATAGGAAGAAAAAAAACAAAAAACAGTTAATGAACACAGAAGCAGCGTATTTTCTTTCTCAGCACCAAGCTGGTCCCATAATTTCCTTATATCAACCTTAAAACAGAATTTCTTCAATTAACAGGAAAAAGGTTTTCAATTTAGACATAGTACATATTATTTGTTAATGGAAACTAATTTAATGGTTAGAGTTTTAAAATACATTCGTGAAGTTACACTCAGTAATGCACATACTTTCAAATCTTGGTCATCTTCTACTTTAGGTACTGTCTGTACTTTTATCTTCTCTGAAGATTCTTCTACTTCTGTCTCTTTATCTGAATTTTCATCTATTTTTTCTGAGTTTTCAGCACCAATTGCTGCAAAAGAAAATGCAAAATTAATCATGTAGCAAGACTCGTCTCAAAAACCAAAACAAGGGGGATGGTGAAAAGAGTGGCAGGATTGGGGGAGAGAACAGAAGGAAAACATGGAAAGAAAGCTTTTGAAATCAGGGGCTGGGGATTTACCTCAGCGACATAAGTGCCTGCCTTGAAAGCAGGCACTCGTGAGTTCGATCCCTGGTACCGATAAAAAGTAAAAAGACAAAAAGAAAATAAGGAGAGGAAGAGCTTGGAGGGAAGAGACTAGGAAAAAGGCAGCAGCAAGAAACACCATGTACAAGTACAAATCCCCTATGATGAACGTCATTAATCGTAACTAAAATGTACCAAAAAACCCCCAAAAACAAAACATGAAATTAAAATGAAAACATCTAACACCAAGAACAGCAATATCTGAAAAAGAACAGTTTTCTCTCCTTTGTCTGTTCCCAACTGGTAAAAGTTCTAGCCACATGTGGTGGTGCAGAGCTATAAACCCTGAACTTGGTAGGCCAAAGCTAAGGAGTTGTGAGCTCAAACCCAATCTCAGAGAGACTGCATCTCAAAATTATAGGGGAGGCCCAGGATATAACTTAGCAGTACAGTGCCTGATTGGCAAGCACAAGGTCCTAAATTCAAGTTCTGATATAAAAAACAAAACAAAAAACAGGGAGGGGGTGGTTGGGGTATGGATCAGCGAGAAAGACCTGGTTCCACCTTCAATACTAATGACAAGTTGGAAGGGGCAGAGAGAAGTTTCCAAAATCAGAGCAGCATTAATTTTAAATCACCCAAATTGGGTACAGTACCACACACTTGTAATCCCAGCTATACAATAGGCCTGAGACAGGAAGATAATTTGTTCAATGCCAACCTAGAAACATTAGTGAAACCCTGATTCAAAATAAAAGACTGGAGATGTGGCTTAACCTCCAGTACTGCCAAAGGCTGAAATAAGAAAATGTAATACCAGCCCCCAAACACACAGCAGGTGTAAGAAATGCAGGGGGTGAGAATAAAACTGGCAGCTTGTAGAGTTTTACTATATGTTCTTTTGTACTGTTAATAGACAAAGATTCAAAGACAAATGCCTGTATCTGTTTGTTAACAGGACATACAAAAGTACTTCAGCTAAGCACACTGATCAAAGATGTGGTGTTCAAACTTTGCTGCTAACTTTCCACTACAGAATTGGGGCCAGATGAAGATAAAAACACTAGCTTTATTGGGAACTTCATTGAGGCTGGGTGACCAGGAGTGGAACTGAGGTCGGGCTTGTGCCCCATCTTTGCCTGCCCACTGGGAATGCAAAGCAGTGGGGAGTACACCTGTCTCCATTATCTGTGGTGAGCAATAGAGGTGGCCACTCTCACTACCTGCATTTGGGAACTGGCTTGGAGTGTGATGAACACACACCCCTGGCTGCCCTCTCCCCTCGTCGCCCATGGCAAGCAGAGAGGGAAAGGGGACCCTTCCCAGAATAAACCCCCAAGGGCAGTAGCGCTGCTACCTGCTCTGCAAAGAAGGGAGCAGAGTAGAATGGGGTGGGAGTGCACCGCTCTCTGCCCAGGGCTGTGAGCTGCACCCTGGGTCAGTGCCTGCTCTGCAGGTAGAAAGGCCCAACCTCAACGCCTAGTGCTGCATAGAAATGAAATAAATGTGTGATGCGATTACCGCTTTCTCCGTTTTCTGGAGTCTCCCGTCCGGTTTTGCTAGAACTGCGGCTGGTAGACTCCGGACTCATCGCACGAACAAACATCTTCCACTTCCCTCGCTTAGACATCAGTCTGCGCACCCCGTCCTGAGACGCTGGCTGGCTGATGTCGGAACGGGGACTCGACCCTGACATGCTGCCATCTCCTTCCTCCAAGGCTCTTAACTCTGCCTAGAAAACGAAGAAAGCCAAAGCCATACACCATCACTGACACTGTGACTGTGTCACACAAGGTTTCTCAACATGTACATCTGCAACAGCTGCAGTGAGTGTCATGACTGAGTTCTCAGAACGGGAAACCAGTGAGAGCAATAAGCACAGCTTTCCACCCCAGGTAAGCAGCAGGCTGCACGGCCCTGACTACAAAAGCTGATTTCCCAGCACTAAGGAGGCTGAAAAAGGAAGATCACCTTGAGTTCAAAGCCAGCCTGATCTATACAGTGAGACCTTGTCTCAAAATACAATGAACAAAAACTGAAATTTACAAAGGGCTAATGTGGAAAATTCGTTCAGTTATCATCTAGCATATACCAGACCCTAGGCTCAATCCCCAGCACAGTCAAAAGAAAAAAAAGAAAAACACATAAAACCTTGCTTTACGCTGGACTTAAGGTGTTAGCAAATGAAAGTGCCTCAATGGGAAAGGGCAGAAAACAGGCATTATGGAGATACATTTACTGACTGTAGCCTAGAAGCTCGATAGAAGTGGACTCGCAGCCCACTCAGCCCCAGGGAAGCCAAGTCCCACCCAGCTCAGAGCCATGATGCCCCGCTCGGGGCACAGCAGCAAGGGACTACCACACCTTTTTCCTCTCCAAGACGAGCTCCAGCTCTAGGGTGTCCTGCTCCTCCTCTTCCTCCTCACTCTCCCCCGACTGCACCACACTGCACAGGTCCTCCTGGGCGGGGTCTTCGCTGCCATCCAGCAACACTTCCGGTGGCCTTCCTGGGGCTGCGGCCTCCTCTGGGACAGAGCTTGGCTCCCTCACCTCAGCCACAGGTGCCTCCTCTTTACAGATCACCTTTCTCCGCCACCGCTCTTCTTCCTCTTTGATTCCCTCCGGCAGCAGAGGAGCCAGCAAAGCTGCTGCCACCCCTTTGCGCTCCTCCTCGCTGTTGGAGAGTGCCTGCACGGCCTCATTCACCTCCTGCAGGGGATGTGGCTGGTCTCACTGTGGGCTGCTGGGGGCTCAGCACGCAGCCCACTGTATGCTCAGCACCAGATGCACAAAACCACTGACAGCCACACAGGGTGTGCATGTGCACTAGTACACACACACACACACACACACACACACACACACACACCACAAACAGTGCAGTAGGCTGGGCGGTAGCAGTGCAAGACTGTGACCCTGGTGCTCCAGAAGACGGAAGCGGGAGGACTGAAGGTCCCAAAATTCAGGTGCCACCCAGCAACAGAACAGAACAATGTCGGGGGTGGGGTGGGGACTGTGTACAAATTCAGGGCAAAGGCCCTGGGTTTAATCCCTGGTACTGCTGGGGAAAAAAAATGGGAAGGAAGGAATAGGATGGCATAGGTCCATCTAATCACAATACTTGGGAGGCTGAGGCAGGAGGACTACCACAACTTTAAGACCAGGCAATGCAACACAGCAGTGAGTTCAAGGTCACCTTCGGTTAAACCTTGTCTCAAAAGTATATCTGACACAAAAACTAGCATTTTCTAATATGAGAAAAACTCTTCACACTCTCACTCTACAGGTTACAACTTCCTTTACTTACTGATGAGGATACAGAAATGCTCAGATGTCATTAGTATGCGGCCATGGTGGCTTAACTATGGGGAGGTTGTGTCACTGAAAGCTCTAAAAGGTTCACCATCACTAGAGGAGGTCAAACAACCCTAACCTGAAACCCTGGATTGCTCTGGAACCCAAGCATTCTGAGCAGGAGCTCTGTCACAGACAGACACAGGTGTATATATATACCTATAACCCTAGTCCTCCAGAAAGCTGAGGCAGGAGGACTGCAAGTTTAAGCCTAGCCTGGGCAATCCAGGGACTTAATGACACCCTCTCTCAAAATATAAAAATAAAACAGGGGGCAGGCACTAGGGATGTAGCTCAGTGTAAAGGCCCTAGATTTAAATCTTACTATTACAAAAATCACAGATCCACTAACTAGGTGTCCTGGCACATGCCTGTAATTCTACTGCTGAGAAGGCTGAGGCAAGAAGATTCAGAGTTCAAAGCCAAGCTTCAACTACATAAGACCTGCTTATTAAAAAAAAAAAAAGTAACAAATCCCTCAAAACAAAACAACAAATAAAACAGACACTACAAATGTGTGGTAAAATCACCTTCAGGAGGGGGCCAGGGATATGGCTCAGTGCACAAGTGCTTGCCTGGCAAGTATAAGGTCATGAAATGGATCCCAGTTACCAAAAACACAAAACAGAACAAAAATTCAGGCTGTGTGTATGAAGTACAGGTGAAATGTAAACAGATTTTGCACTTCAGACTTGGTCCACACGCAAGGTATCTGCACTGTGCAAGAGCACTCTAAACTCCAAAATAATTTCCTCCATTTGTTAGCCCTTGTGGTCCCAGGCATCCTAGATAGGGACATTCCATCTATCATTTTAAGCTACCTGATCTTTGAATCTTAGCACACCCTATGTGGAGCCTGGTTCAGCAGAGTGTTTCTGTCAGAAGTAGGGCAGAGAACCTGAGCCCCATTTGGCAGGTTGAGCCCCAGACTCGGTGGCCCAAGAAGTCCTTGTGGCTGCGCCAGCCAAGAATGCAGAGAGAAATCGTGATTAAGAGTACACTCATGCTGGTAAACAGGCACAGGGGCCAGGTCACCTTCAGTGGATGGGAGGAGCTAACTTGTAACACCGACCTTTTTAACTTCTCGCTTGGCTACGACTGGTCCAATTTTACTACTGGAGACAGAAACTGCTTTCTCCTTCATGTATGTGTCTGTGTTTACCACGAAACCAGATTCAGCACTTGTTCCAGAACTAGAAAACAAAGCTAGTAAGAGAAACTGAAGGCAAAGTCCACGGATGCCAAACAAGCCCCGAAGGCCTTGCCAGCCCCGACTCCCAGGCTGCTCACCCAGGCTGATAATGCTGCAGCCCCTGGACCTGGGTGGCAAGGTAGGGGGGCAGCTCCCAGGTGACTTCATTGCTCTGTGTGTTCCAGTAGTAGTAGCAGCCAGTGTTTTCGTCCCACACTTCCTGCCAGTCTCCCATCTCAATTTCCACTGTGAGAAAAAAATCATCATGAGAAGCACAGAGTGTCACAGCCTGGTGTCTCCACCTTAGCACTGTTAGTTTCGGGGACTGCCACCCAGCCAATCTCACAACCCTGCACTGTGACCACCGAAAGCATCCCAACACTGCCACCCGAACCTGGGGGAACACAGCCGCTGGGCAAGCTTGCAGCTGAAAACTCTGCTCCTAAAGCAAGGGATGCATTCAACAGACACTCAGCCACCATGTGCTCGGTGAGGAAAGCAGTCTGCAGGCTAGACACGCAGCTGAGTAATACTGTGCTTGTCTACCATACATACGGGCCTGAGTCCAACCCCCAGGGAACATAAAACAAAGCTATTTGCTTATTCAAAAATGTTTTTTAAATACTGGCTTTTCCCCCCTCATCTAGCATAATCCACCAGCAATTACTTTTCAAAAGGTAGGAATTATATCCCACAGTTTCCAAGTGCCCTATCCTACTCCTCCCATAATGCCCTGAATGCCCTGAGCCCGAAGCAGAACCCTGGGCTGGGGCTAACCTCCTGCCAAGGAGCACTGCGTGTCATACTGCCACTCTGGAGCTGTGGTTGTGCTGGTGCCATTGGACGCAGCGGAGGTGGGGGCAGACGCGGCTGCCTCCTTGGGCTCTGGGCGAGGTGGAGTTGGAGGTGGGACCGAAGCTCCTGCAGGCGGCCCAGGTTGAGGAGCCGTGATAGCATCAATTTCCTGAATTGGGAATAGCAACACACACGCTGGTGACCCAGAGCCATACACCAAGGAGCTGGCAACTGCTTATGTTCGATTCTCCATTATTGCAAGCACAACTGTTTTTCAGTGCTGGAAATGCATCACAGTGGCTTGCCTAGGGTGTGGAAGGCCTTGGGTACCACCTTAGCACTGAACAAAGCAAACCAAAACCCAAAACCTCACTTGCAGACACAGGGCTTTCCAAAGGCTCCATTCCTCCATCCCCTTCCTCCCTGAGCTTTCCAATGAGCTCACAAGGGGAGAGGGGACACAGGCGGAGTAGAGACAGAGCTCAACAAGCACCTCCAGCATCTCAGTGCAACCCAAAGCACTCACCGCCAAGAAGCTGGCCAGAGTGCTGTCGATGTCAGCCGATGTGTTCCCGTTGGCCTCCTCAGACTGCGCTGGCTTCTCAGAAATATCACTCTCATCATCATCACTGTCAGCATAGGCCCCGAGCAGACAAAGCCCGCCTAGGAGCAAGCAGGAAAGGATTGGGACTGGAAAGGCATGTGCCCTGCAAACCCAAACAGCACCATCTCCGGGTGAAGTTTACTCACACACTGGAACCTAGCCCACAATTTACAAGAGTCACCAAACCAGCCTTAGGTACATTTTAGAATATAGATTAAGTGTTCTAAATATAAAGTTCCCAAATATGAGGTATGGCCATGTGTGATGGCACATACCACCTGTAATCCCTGCATGGGGGAACTGAGGCAGAAGGATCACTTCTGAGCCAGCCTGAGTCACACTCAGAGAAAACTACACCAAACCAAGAGGGGTGATGCAAGTCATGAATCTTCTTCAAACCGCACTCCCTCGCTCAAGCACACTTATCCCACGGCTCCCGCCATATTCTGTAGCAGCTCTTAAGTCCTCTCTCATGAGTGTCCCTTAGTTGTTCCACTGTGACTGCCTTGATGTCCTGAACCAATTCAAAGGATTCTCTTTTATGGCTTTGATTTTGGAGAAGAACCAGAAGCCACACAGTGCCAGATTTTTTTTTTTTTTAAATTCCCGCTATTTTCTTTTCTTTTTTTTTTTTGGTCTTTTTTGAGACAGGGTCTCACTGTGCAGTTCAGGCTGGCCTTAAGGTCACTTTGTAGTGCAGGCTGGTCTTGAACTCCCAACGATCCACCTGCCTCAGCCTCCTGAGTGCTGGGATTACAGGTGTGAGCCACCACACCCGGCCACGGTGCCAGATTTGATAGATGAGGATACTGTCGTCTCTCAAGCCTGCCTTTCCACTGAGAAGCACTTGGCAGCAGCAGTCACTGGAATTCTGTAACCTTTTCAGGTCACAGAAACTATCAGGAATTAAATGCTTCATGTAAATACACTTGCCACAGTTCATGGGAGCTGGGCATTGTGGTGCACACCTTGTCATCCCAGCACTTGGTAGGCTGAGGCAGGACAATCATTGCAAGTTTGAGACCAGCATGGGCTATATGGTGAGCTTAAGGCCACCTGAACCATATGAGACCCTGTCTCAAAGACAAAAAAAAAGAATGATGAGGTGAGTGTATTTAAAGCAAGGAGAGGATTTGGGTATGTGTGGGAGATTCATGGCTATGTGTATACAGTAATTACTATTATTATTTTTGGTACCAGGAAATCAAATGCACAACCTTGTGCTTGCCAGGCAAGCACTTATGCCACTGAACTAAATCCCCAGCAGCCCAGGGTGGTCTTGAACTCGAAATAATCCTACTTCAGCCTCCTGGAGTGCTGGCATTACAAGCATGCACCACCATGCCTGGCCAATAATAATTTTTAAGGCCCATATTTTTTGATCAAATGTTACAATTTAGACCATTAAAAGGCTTTAGGTGGATGTTTTGAGTTTCTAGATCTCATTTATCAAATATATTTCTTATCCCTTTCAGGCTTTTTCCTGAATTTCTGAACATGGGGTAATATAGAGCATTGCAAGAGTATAACTATATAAGGAGGAAATTCAAAATGGGAGTAACACTCTCCTGTATACTAAGCCTCAATGGACCATGAAGGGCCTCATCAGTGCTGAACATATAATGTTGTTTTAACTAGAATTTTTCTTCCTTTTTGGTTTTTTGAGACAGGGTCTCACTAAGTAGCCTGGACTGGCCTCAAACTCAAGGCAACTCTCCTTCCTCAGCCTCCCAAGTGCTGGGATGACAGAGGAGCACCACCATGCCAGGCTCAAGTGGATTTCTGTAACCTTTTCAGGTCAGAGAAATTATTAAAATGCTCCATGTAAACACACTTGCCCCAGGACACACATTGGGCCACACAATTCTGGGGATCCAAGGACACCACCATCCTCTATAGAACCATAGTTAAGTAACCCTTCTCTTCAAGATGCTATGATGTTTAATGTGAAATTTAAAACAAGGCCTATTAGATTAGGAAAGGGCCTAAAGGGATTTAGCCCAGTGGTTAAGTGCCTGCCTGGCAAATGCAGGTCATGAGCTCAATTCCTGATCATGGAAAAAAAAATTAGAACAGCAGTTGCCAGGTGCACAATGCCCTGGGACTGCTCTCCCAGACTGCAAGAAAGAAAGAAAGAAAGTAAATTCTGTATCTACTTTAATAGTGGCTACACAAATCCAAGCAAATACAGAAAAATCGCTTCTCGAGTGGCTTCTGTGTGACAGACATTTTCTTCTGCTTTATACCAACTACTGTGTAGGAACGGAATAAAAGCAACACGCTGTCACAGTGCAGGAGCTGAGCAAAATGAAGACCTTCCTGCCCATCACATGCTGAGGGCCTAGCTGACACAGAAGCTCTGGTCACTTCTTCCACGAACACTGGCCTTCTGTCCATCTTCACAATTCTTAACGAAGGCTCAAACCAAACAATATATGTACAGCAGTTTTCAAATATAAAGTAGTATTATGTAGTTCTGAAATTTCACAACCAAGGCTTAGCTTTTTTCCTTGGCAGCAACCTGGGACCTGGGCAGTGAGTTACATACACTCCTGGCACTTTTTTTTTTTTTTAAAACATTGTTTCCTGCATGGTTTATCTCCCCAGTCACTGCCCAAAGGACTCTGAGAAGTTGTAGGAATATGCAGGCGCAGACACAAGGCCCAGCTTCTTCTCCAACGTCGTAGAAAGGGACTGTACATCACGGGGCAGAGTCCTATGCTCCCCTATGCCACCTGGACAACTCCTGGCACTTTTAAAAGTTTTATTAATTTGCCCAGGTTGGGCTTGAAGTTGTGATCCTCCTACCTCAACCTCCCAGAGTGCTGTGAATTAGTCATGCCTAGCATGGCTTAGCTTTCATAATCTACTATATGGGAACATTTTAATCTTTCCAGTTATCTGAAACGGAACTGGTATTATCACTCAGTGGTAAGGGCTGGGTTCAATCCCCAATCCTCCCCCCATACATGAAATAAAATGCAAAGCAAACTAATGTCCTTATACGTACTATGTCAGGAATTTATCTAATTCTCAAAATAACTCAGGGATACAAGATCTGTTTTACAGACATTTAAAATGAGGTTCAGTCCAACCCATAATTGTACTGAGGTCCTATAGCTAATGTTAAGAGTGATGATCTGAACCTAAAAATAACTATAAAACCACTTTGGAAATATTTCTTTATGTTTATTAATGTTCACAGGAGCAATCTGCAGCTCCAAATATATGCCAGGTACCAATAGAGACAGACTGTTAGAAAACAAACAGAATGAAGCTGGGTGTTTAGCTCAGCAGCACAAGTACCTGCCCGAGCTCAACCCCTGGCACCAAAAAAAAAAAAAAAAGTATTAGTAGGACAACCAGAAAGGTAGTCACAAAGCAACATCTGGAGCTGAGTAGTGGCCCACACCTGCAATCCCAGTATTTGGGACGCTGAAGCAGAATTCCAAGTCTGAGTCCAGCCTGGGCTACCTACTGTATATCTGCCTGAAATAAAACCAGATCTTATTTTGATTTTTGCTCCAGAATATGCAGTATGGCTTATTTTCAAGGGATGTCTTATTTTTGCATGTACAACAACCTACTTTTACCCACATAGCGCAATCTACATTGATTCATGCACAGAAATCTACATTCATTCCAATGTCATCATCTAGAATATCTCATTACTCTCTAAACCCCAAACTGGAGCCTTAACGTTTTGTGACTCCTCTTTCCTGCAGAACTTTTGTCCTCAGTCTCCCATGTCCTGTAGTAGAGCTCTTCTTAAAAGGCTTGTTGTGCATACAGCTGCTCACAGCACTCCGGCAACTCAGTGGCCGGTGATTTTAACCCATGAATTCTTCGTCCACATCATGACCATCCACAAGCTGGACTTTACCACATCTCCAAGTTGATTTCTCTCCATCCTGTTTTCAGCACTGTCACTGACCTCTATGTGCACATGTCCTTGAGCCACTGTTCTTCAAGAGCCTGGAGAGAGGTGGTCACTATTCCTGCAGGAGCCACTGTTTCATATGGTCCTTTCTATGCGAGCAAGTTCTTCTGTCTGTCTTTGGTGTGGTGAGCCCTAGCTGAATCCTACTCGCAGACCTGGTCAAATGAGTGGCAACAGTCGACTCAGCCGCTTTCTCATCACTGCTTGCTGCAGTGGGCACTTTTGCTTCCATGAAAGAACTGCCCGCTTCAGTCTTGTCTTTTGTGACCTGAACTACTTTCTGGCCACACAAATTGCTGAAATATAGGTAACATGTGCACATCTGTCCCTAGTGGGGGGAACACAGATGCTGAGGGGCCCTCATATCTACTATCCTTCAAGATCCTGAGCCCATGAACCCTGCAGCTCCATCCACAGGAGTCACGGAGAGTTGACATTTAGGAAAGTCCAGGCCAGCAAAGGGTCTCAAACACAAGTGCATTTAGTAATCCTGCTGCCCATCTAAAGACAGAGCAAATGGTACCGCTGAAGGAAGCCGTCCAGCCAGTGCTGAGATGCCTTGAATTCATCAGGAGAGATTTCTAACTGTGGCGCCACAGCCAGGGCGAAGGCTTGAATATCAGCCCTGCGCACAACCAGAGCCCTGGCACCCCTGTCAGCGATCCACTCACAGACGATGTCCTCCAGCTCAGGGAACGAGGCTTGCCGCCCTGATCCACACTTGCGCTTCTTTGCGTTCCCCTCGTCCACTTGCTGACTGAGGTTCTCATACTCCGAGCGCCACTTCCGGACCATGCGGAGATCCAACTGCTTCTCCTTGCAGAAAGCTGTAAGATTCTTGCCCCTTGAGTCCTCCACGATGCCCTTCTTGTACTCGACGGAATAGCTCTTTCTTTTTGCACTCATCTTGTCTGGGGGTCAAAATATTATTCCCTTTAAATCTACCATTAAATCAAGTGTTAATCAAAGACTCATGAGACGAGGGTGGCAACAAAAATGGTAACAGTTAAGAATGATGGGACACATAGAACTGACAAAAAATTGCAGGCACCAAAATTTCAGAAAGCATTTCTTTATTTCACATTAGTGCATTAAGTAGTGTACATCTGTTACAACACATGACATATTGAGTTATGAAGACTCATGTTAGACACCAACACCCTGTCAGGTATCAAGTGCACATGCCATTCATTTGCTATGTCTGCACTCTGCTCATTTGGCAATAATTCTCGAGTTCATCTGTTTACATGGGCCTTTACCTCTTGTCCAAAGGCTCTTGGTCAGCTATGTACAAGTAATAACAATTTATATTATCATTTACGCATTGTCAATATTATTCACACTGAACTATATTATTACTTTATAACTCAATACATTCATTGGGTGCCATGGCAGACAAACTAAATGCATTCATCTGGGTGATGAGCTTAACTGGGGTGTATTTTTTGAGCAGGGCCTGTACTACCATCATCATGAAAAAAATCACAGTAGGACTTATTTTGGGAGAAATACAGTAACAAACTACAAGGTGAGAAACTCTCCTCAAAAAACAAACAGAACTCCACACATTAGAAGAGACAGTACCGGGCTAGGGATTTAGTTCAGCGGCATAAGCACCTGCCTTGCAAGCAGGTGGTCGTGAGTTTAATCCCTGGTACCGATAAAAAAAAAAAGAAAAAAGAAAAAAGAAAAAAAAAAAAAGAAGAAGAAGAAAAAGTACAAGTATTTTGGGTACAGAAAAAAGCCAACAAATTCTGCACTGCTCTAAGTGTCTAGACTGACAAGCCTTCACTTTATGGGTAAATGTGAAATGTGACCACTAAAGCACTCAATGAAACCTGCTATGTCTGTGATCCCTTTGACTTAACCAGATCTCAGAGACAGTGCAAAGCAATTAAAGATCACTCTACCTGTTGCTTTCACGGCCGTGGGTCTGGTGGTCATAACTGGTTTTGGAGGATTCTGAACAACTCTGGGCACTTCCACCACAACTTCCTCCTCATCTAGATTTCAAAGATGAACAAAAGAAAACTGCAGTCAAGCTCTGGACCAAGAAAACACTAGAGGTGACAAACAGGTCTCAGGTTTGACCTTGCAGATGTAGATTTTAGCCCCCCCCCCCAAAAAAAAAGCTGGGGCTGGGGGTTTAGCTCAGCAGCACAAGTGCCTGTCTGGCATGGCAAGCTCAAGATTGTGAGTTTTGAACCCTGATACACACACACACACACACAAAAGGCCTAGAAACAAGGGTGAGGTTCCATAGGGTAGCACAGGACGTCAATATTAGGGAGAAGCTGAGGCAGAGAATTTTAAACTCAAAAAAAAAAAAAAAAAAAAAAAAAAAAGAATTTTTTTGGTCTTTTTCCTTTTTACCGGTACCGGGGATCGAACTCACGACTGCCTGCTTGTAAGGTAGGCGCTTATGCCGCTGAGCTAAATCCCCAGCCCCCCAAAAAAGAATTTTAAACTCGAGCTGGCGTAAAATAAAAAAGGTGTGGGGATTCAGCTCAGTGGAATGGCCCTGTTTAAACCCCAGTATAAAAAAACACACAAAAAAGAAAATCAGGGCAGGAGGGAAAAGAGCAGCATCAGATCACTGTCTTTATTTCGGATTTCCCAGGCTCCAGACTTTTTTTCTTTGTTTGACTTTTTTGAGACTTACTAAATTGCTCAGGTTGAGCTCAAACTTGGGATCCTCCTGCCTCAGCAGGCGCCGAGCGCCACACTTCCTCGCAGTTAAAGCGACTTCTGAACACCAGAAATGCTTCAAGTGCCTAACCCTGCACGCATGTGCCACACAAACTGTTAATCCAAAATTATGTTTTTCCTGACCTCTCCATTTTAGGGAGAACACAAATACTTGGGAACTCACAGGTTCCACTCCCACATCAATTTTGATAACATCTGTTAAATTTGGGGACACTGGGGTGGGGATTTAGCTCCGCGACATAAGCACCTGCCTTGCAAGCAGGCCGTCGTGAGTTCGATCCCCGGTACCGATAAAAAGGAAAAAGATAAAAAAAAAAAAATTGGGGGACACTTTCGCTTTGTCTGATATGACAAAAAAAGATTTGTTAACTTTTTTAAAAAAAAGATAATGCAGATGAAATCCAGGGACGGTTTAGCACTAACTACACCTCCATCCCATTTTTAAATTTCTGAGACAGGGTTTCACGTAAGTTGTGGCCCGGGGTGACCTCGAACTCGCAATCCTCCTGCCTCAGCTTCCCGCCTTGCTGGACTCATGCGTGCGCCAGCTCAATCCAAACACTCATCTGCTTCAACAAAACCGGAAAACGGGCGAGGCGCTAAGGAGACCCCGTCAGCCTCGCCGACGCCGGTACGTGGGGGACGCAGGCCCCCACCGCGCCTCGCGGCCGCCATGGCACCCTCCCGCCTTCCCGACGCAGGCTGTGCTGCTTCCGGGCACCCTCACCTTCCGAGGCACAATCGTCGGGGGCCGCGGCGGCCGTGACTGCGGGCGCCGTCGTCGTTGCCATCGCCAGGGAGGGCTGGCTGGGCACGGCCGCCGTGGCGTCGGAGTCGGGGTCGGGGTCCGGCTCGGGGTCCCGGCCTGGCGTGCTTCCTCGGGGACCCGGCGGAGAGAGCTGCAGGATGGGCCTGCGGCCGGGTACCGCCCGCGACTTCTTCCCCATCGCGAGCCTGAGCGCGAGCTGCGAGCGTCGGCAGTCGAGAGGGGCGGGCACGGCGCGACGCAGTACGTAATGAATATTTATGAACCCGCAGCTCCGCCTCCGGCCTGCTGCCTCTTCAAATTGGCTGAGTGCGCACGCTCACGCAAGCGCCCGGGCGTTGTCTGTCTTCTGGCTCCACCTCCTTTGCGGGAGGGCGGGCTCTCCCCCCCGAGGTGTTAGACTATTGGCTATTTTGACCTAGAGTCGGAACGGGTAGCCAATGGAAAAGGAAAAACGGTAGGAGTCAAGCCAATAGTGCGGAAGGACCTGCGTTCCGAGTGACTTCCTGCTGAGGTCGGGTTCCACCCATGCATTCCTCCGCCACCCCCACTCCGAGTCTTTTCTTTCCCTTCCTTGTCCTCCATCTTGTTTCCGTGCTGGTGTTCGCGTTGTCCCTGAAGAAGCTGTATGGACAGTGTGGGGAAGCTATGTGATCTTGGGGACCGTCCCCCAAGTTTTCCTCTCATTGCTGTGCTTTCACTTTGGTTTACATATAATAATGGAATTTATGCTTTTATAAATAGCAATTTGTTTTGTTTTGTTTTAGTTGATTTTTTGCCTTTTTGAGACAGGGTCTCACTGTAGTTAAGGCTGGTCTCACTTTTGTCGCCCGGGCTGGTATAGAACTCACAAGGATCCTCCAGCCTCAGCCTCGCTAGTGTTGGTATTACAGGCGTGCCCCACCACAGCTGGCTTGCTTTTGTTTTTGAGACGAGATCTCGCCTTATAGTTAAAGCCTTACCCTTATCCTGTTCCCCAGGCTGGGCCACCGTTTGCAATCCTGGCTCAACCTCCCCTTGTGGCTGAGGCTACAGGCTTGTGCCACTAGGCCTGTTAGTAGTGCCCATTTTCTCTAAATACCAACAGTTGCTCTTCGTATACCCACTAGGTAACTCGGTGCCTATTCAAGCATGCTAAAAATACCTAATGTTTATTAAGCATTTACTATGTGATTCTATGGCAGTCACAATCCTTTACATGCAGAATTGCACTGGATTCTGATCTATTTGTGGGACAGCTTTACCATTTTCAGTTTTCTGATAATGGGAACAGAACCCCAGATCTTTTGATATTCCTAATTTTTGATGTGTATTTCCAGTATTTTAATGCATAAATATATTTTTTACATGGATCATATTGTATATATTATTTTGTAATAGTTAATATATCTTGAATGCTTGATTTCTTTTAACATTAATCACCAAGTTTAACAGCTTTTTTTTTTTTTTTTTTGTCTTTTTCCTTTTTATCGGTACCGGAGATTGAACTCACGACTGCCTGCTTGCAAGGCAGGCGCTTATGCCGCTGAGCTAAACCAGCCCAATTTAACAGCTTTTAATGATTTCTGAAATACAGTTCCAGGTAGAATTTGAAGTCAAAGGCAATGCTTAAGGCTTCTGATACTGATTGCCAGAGAAACTGCTTATTGACATCCCGTTGATATTTCTATTTTAAGGCAGAGTCTCTGGAAGTAGCTTGTAAGTTTTCCATGCAGGACTCAAAGTTATAACCCTCCTGCCTCAGCCCTACAATTTTAAAGGCATTCCAAAATTGGTTGTTGACTGAAAAATCCACAAGATCTGGGTCTTTAATGGAGCTTGTTTTTTGTCTGAATATAATACTTTTTTTTTTTCTGAGACAAGGTCTTGCTGTGTAGTTTAAGCTGGTCTTGAATTCACTATGTAGGCTAGGTTGGCTTCAACTTTGCAATAATTCTCCTGCCTTAGCCTTCTGAGTGCAGAATTACAGGCATGTACACTTGGCTAAAATGAACTTTCTGAAACATAAAACACATCCAGCGAATTTTTGGATTTTTTTTGGTACCAGAAATTGAATTTAAGACCTTGTAATTGCCAGGCAGGCATTTGTGCCACTGAGCTGTATTTCTGGTCTGGGTTTTCTTGTTTTGTTTCATTTTTTGGTATCAGGAATGATCTCAAGGCCTTGTGCTTGCTAGGTACTGCTGAGGTATATCCCAGCAAATATTTTTGAAAAACATAAACATTGTCTAGAGGCATACCACCCTGAACGCACCCGATCTCGTCTGATCTCAGAAGCTAAGCAGGGTCGGGCCTGGTTAGTACTTGGATGGGAAAAACATAAACATATAGCCATAAACTTAAAATAAGGACAGGACTACTTTCCTTTTCTGACCTATGGGCAGGATTATCTGTTGTTAAGGTGTCCTGAGATTACAGACGCCCAAAATTTCTGAAAATTCACCATTTTGAAGCTGTTAGCAATTTTGTGGTTTACCTCATGGGGAAAGAGAGTAGACTACAGACAGGTGAGGTGGTGATTTCCTGTAATCCCAGAAGAAGGCAGGAGGAGAGGAAATTTAAGACCATCCTGGGCAAAAACAGTAGATACCCTGCCTCAAAAATAAAAAGGCCAGCGGGCATGGTGGCACATGTCTATAATCCCAGCACTTTGGAGGCTGAGGCAAGAGGATTGCTGTGGGTTGAAGGGTAGCCTGTGCTACAAAGTGAGTTCAAGGCCAGGCTGACCTGAACTGCATAGTGAAACCCTGTCTCAAAGAGGAAAAACAGAAAGAGAGAGAAAGATGAAAAGGGGTGAGGGTGTGCCATGCCCAGGGTTCATCCCCAATACAGTGGATACCCGCGCATGCGCATGCACACACACACAAAACTAGTCAATAAATACGGTAACTGGGAATTTTTGAAGTGAAACCAAGGCACCTGTAACCTGCTGGTAACGTGTCCACAGGTTAAAAGAGACCAGTCTTGGCTGGGGGTTTAGCTCAGCGGCATAAGCACCTGCCTTGCAAGCAGGCTGTCGTGAGTTCAATCCCCGGTACTGGTAAAAAAAAAAAAAAAAAACAAAAAAAAAACAGAGACCAGTCTTAAACTCTTGACAGTGAACTTGGAACAAAATAAGCCATGGTAGTTACTGTTACCATAAATGAACCACTTATTACTTATTCATGTATTTCTTTGTTTGCTGTACAGGGGATGGAAGCCAGGGCCTTCACACTGAACTACATTCCCAGCCTTTTTTTATTTTTTGAGACAGGGTCTTGCCCAGGTTGGCCTGGAATTTGCGATCCTCCTGCCTCAGCCTCCCAGAGCATTGGGATTACAGGCATGCCCACCACAGCCAACTAGTCTGTCACCTACACAGTCCAAATAGTGTAAAACAGCCTGGAGCCAAACCAAAAGGCATAGGCTGTTTTCCTAGACCCTAGAAAGACTGCCTTGGGTGATGGTTAAAGCACAGCTTATTTTTTGTGGTATAGTTCTGTTTGTATTTTCACTGTGGTTCATATAGGAATCGATTCCTGATGTTCTTTTAGATTTTATAAGCAGGTACATAGCTGATATGAAAATGTTGTCAGTTCTAAATGCACAGAACATACTAAGAATTGAATATCTTATTAATATTTTATGTTCCTATACACTGTATAAGAATCTCCTGACAAAACAATCAAATCACTGAGATGTCAATATGTCCTATAAAAAGGCCAGGAAAGGAAAATACATGAGCTGTCAGTGTAAGCAATGTGTGGAATATGCAGTTGTCATGAGTGCAGACTGTCTTAGGTGTGATAACTGAAGTAAAGATTATTTTTGTAAAGTGCTATTGGTATTTTCATTGTAGTATATATAAGAATTAGTGTCCCCCACCCTTTTTGAAGCAGGGTTTCTTTATGTAGCCCAGGCTGGCCTCATATTTATGGCAGTCCTCCTGCCTCAGCCTCTTGAGTGCTGGGATTCCAGGCATGCACCATCATGCCTGCCTGTGTTGTTCTTTGTTAGATTTTTTTTTTATCAGTACCGGGGATTGAACTCATGACCACGCGCTTGCAAGGCAGGCACTTATGCCGCTGAGCTAAATCCCCAGCCCTCTTTGCTAGATTTTGTACATCAAAAACATTCAATGTTGAAAATTTTGATGCTTTTTTATAAACTCAATAAACATTAAAAATGCAGTACTTTATTTTTGTGGTATTTATCCTGTTAAATACTCATTGTTTAATAAAATTTTTTTGTTTGTTTAATAAAATTTATAAAATTAAAATTAATACTTCATCAATAGAAATATTTTTTTTTGTCTTTTTTCCTTTTTATCGGTACCAAGGATGGAACTCAGGACTGCCTGCTTGCAAGGCAGGAGGTTATGCCACTGAGCTAAATCCCCAGCAATAGAAATATTTTAAAGGATAAATGTGGGTCTGGCAGACTTATGTTTCTGCACCTTTATGGCATCTTTACTGTCATGCTCCTGAGTTTTGTTTTTTATTGTTTTGTCGTTGTTGTTGTTGGTCTTCTCTTGTTTTAGACAAGGGTCTCACTATGTAGTCAGTGAAACCTTGAACTCACTATGTAAAGGAGGCTGACCATAAACTTTCAGCTGACCTTCCTGACTCAGCCTCCTCCATGCTGGGATTACAAGTGTGCACCACCATGTCCAGCCAAGATTAAAGGAAACTTTGGAACTTCCTACGAATATGTGCTTGTAGGAAAAATACATTATCAAAAAAAAAAAAAAAAAAAGGAAACACTAATAAAACTCCCCAATGCCCTTATCACCTTGAAGCAAATCAGTTTAATTCTGTTGTCTAGAACATGTTCACTGTCTCTTTCTGCCATGTTTGGGTGCTACTAGAGATCAACCCCATCCCCTTTTGTGATTTTGAGACAGGGTCTCCCTGCGTCTGTGAGTTGCTCAGGCTGGGCCTGAATTTGTGATCATCTAGCGCAGCCTCCTAGCGTGCTGGGATTACAGGCAGCCCACCAGCACTGGCCTCCAGCTGCTGTTTAAGGATAAACCCCAGGTACACTACATCCCTTTTCTTCAGTGAGAGGAAGCTGGGTAACACACAGCCTGTTGGGAATTAGCGAGGGAGGTGGTCAGTAACAGAGCCACTCACAGCTGGTTTTGTTGTTTTTGTTTTTTATGTGTAGTATGGGGGATCACAGCCAGGTTTTAAGATTTTTTTTTAATTACTATTTTTATTGGTGTACTTTAGGAATTCATCATGGAGG